ATATGGGTGTGCCAGTGTCACGGCTGAGAAGCACAGACTCTGGTAAGCACAGCCAGTGGGTGCAGTCTCCCCTCATCACAAGCAACCCGAAAAGTGGGGGAAGGAGAGAAGAGAATAAAAAATTAAACACAGGTCAGCGAGACTGCTAAAGCGGTACAGCGTAGGATAACTTTGGTTTGCCCTTCCTCCCTGGCTGCTAGAAGCTTGTGTTTGTTGATTGCCCCCCAGCCTGTCAATTATCTTAGTCTCCAGATTAGACTCTGACTTGTAAATATTGTCTTTCTCTTCTCCTGAATGCCCTTTGCATGGTTAGTTATTTCAGAGCAATTGCCTTTTGTGTGGACATACGAAGACAGTTAAAAAGACAAGCCTGTGGATTGGGAGTTGATTGAGTCCAGATAATATTACCTCCTGGACATCTGCTCTCTTGACTTAAGTCTCAGTTGTTCTCCTAAAGGTAGAGTCCTGATTAGAGACTGGATGGACCTCAGGCAAGCGGTGAGCTATAAGCTACCCTGGCATTGAAATAGTCTTGGCCAAAGTGCCCTAATTCCTAACTATAAGTTAAGAGCTTGGTCATGGACAAATTCTGTCATGATCCAAAAGTAATAACTAGATTTGGACCCTGCTGGGATTAGGAATGATTGATCTGGCCTGAGCACTGTAGTCTGAGTCTGTGGTGAGATGTTCCCAGGAGAGTCACCCTCCAAGCCTAAAAGTGTCTACTACGGTGTCCATACAGAATGGTAAATATTAGGAAGGAGAATTGAAGATGCTAATTAAATTGCAGGTCTAAGGAGAGGAGAAACACACCTTAAGGGCTGTTTTGCCCTTGTGGGTTGCAGGTGGTCGGGAAGTCTGGAAAAACATTTTTGATCACGCTTCCCCTCGGGAGGCGGGAGGCGTGGTGAGAGGATAAAAAAGAGTGGCTGCGGGGAGAAAGGGGATTGTTGTTGGATTGATTGATTTATTAACAGAGAGACAGCAGTGAGAGAGGTAGAGGAGACGGATATAGTGGGAAGAAATAATTGCTCGGTTAGCGAGAGATAGACATACTGACACACAGAGAGTTGGAGAGAGCTGGGAGAGACGAGAGATTGAATAAATGGCAATTAATCAGCAACCAGATTGGCCCTTGTTCTTCCTTCGTCCGTCCAAGGCCACAGCCATCCCGGGTAGAGAAGTGGCTTCAGAGCACTGAACACGGGTGGGGAGAGAGAGCCGCCCAGAGAGCACGAGAACATCCCTCCCGTGTAATCCCTATGAGCGTGAGGGGCTTACACAAGTGTGGGATTTTTACACAGTAAAAATTTTTACGCATGTGCAAGGCCCTGAGTTCGGTCCCCCATCCTGCACGGCCCCCAGCATTGCCTAGTGGTCCGAAGCACCACGGAGATGGGCACCACCAAGGATGGACTTGGCATTCTACCCCCAAGCATCACTGGGGGCGTTTCCTAGAAATATAAATGAATATTATAAGTATATAATAAAAGTAAACAGCATGCTTCATATAAAAATCTTACTTTTTTCATTTGTGGGAGTCACACGGGGAATGCTCAGTGCTGGGGGGTGGGGGAGGAGGAGGCTACAGTGCTAACCCCCAAATGTTCTTACTGAAACAAGTAGAACAGTGCCCCCCCCCAAAAAAAAAGCCAGAGAAAAGCCCCTACATTCTCCCTTTAACTCCTGCTTGAGTCAGTCCCGTGCAAGGGTTCCAAGAGCAAGACAAGTGCTCTACTGCCAAGATGCATCCCTGGCTCAGAACAATGGTTTTGAAAACTGCCAAAGAATGCCAGAGTCTCACTACTAGTCAATGTATTTTTTTTTCTTTTTGGGTCACACCCGGCGATGCACAGGGATTACTCCTGGCTCTACACTCAGGAATTACCCCTGGCAGTGCTCAGGGGACCATATGGGATGCTGGGAATCGAACCCGGGTCAGCTGCATGCAAAGCAAATGCCCTAACCGCTGTGCTATCGCTCCAACCCTTACTCAATGTTTTTTGTGGATTGGACTCCTTTAGCGCAGAACTTCAATGTGTGCTAGAAAAATCACCTCGACGTTTGGCAAAGGCTTGGCCACAGCTGCCCTACACGACACGTATGTCACGAGAAAACAGCACTATCATTCTTGGAAGACTCCCGGAGACCCACAGCTGCTGAATTTGCTTACTGGACAGATGCCCTGGGAGGGGCAGAATTTCTGGAGTTACTTGGTGGAGTCAACAGGGGCAGGGCCTGAAACTGTCTGTGACAGCAGACAAGGCAGCAGTGTGTGGGGTTAACTGAGCCACAGCCACGTGCAATCCCCAAGTGGTACCCATGAGCATCACTGTGCTGAAAGAAAGGTAGGGCTGGAGCCATGGGACAGGACCTAAGGGGCCTCCCCTGCATGAGGCCAACCCTGGTTCAATCCCCCGTACTTCCTTCCTATGGTCTGCAGAGCATAGCAGGGGTCACTCCTGAACACTGCAGGGTATGGCCCAAACACCTCCCCCAAATCAATGAAATTTTAAGCATTATTAAAGTAAGAAAGGTGGTGCCACTACACAATGCATTTGAGAGCGAATCTGGGATTCTGTGCTCTGGATGCTAAGGACAATGGAGCACTGTGTGACATAGGCTATTTGGAACCCACCATTCAGCTCCAACACTAAAACCCCCACTCCACAATGACCCCAGAACTCCAGACTGCCTGCCTGCTGCTGATCTGCAGAGATCTGCCTCTGCTGCCTTCACTTTGATACAGTCCTACTGCAGAGCTCCCTAACGATGTCATCATACTTCAGCTCCCTAATCATGTCATCAGGAAATGCAGTTGGTGGGAAAGAGCAGCTAAGCCACCAGCCACCAGCCCAGGCACACAAAGGAGCACTGGGCTGGGGCCTCTGCCAGGGCCACAGTCTGTGGGAATCCTGAGCTGCACTAGTGGTTGTTAAACACCAGGTCTCTCAGCACAAACACACAAAAAGTTCAATAAATCTTAACATCAACCATGCAACTGTGAAACCTTCTATGAAGGAGACGGTGGGTCCCTGAGAATGAATGCAGAGGGAGTGAAAGGAGACATATCCAGAATCTCTGAGATGAACAGAACCATTCACTTTCTGGGGTGAAAGTGTGCAGGGGTGGCTTCTGGCTCTGGACAGGAGTGACTGCTGGCAGTGCTCAGAGGAGCATATGAGATTCCAGGGATCAAACTGGAATTGGCAACATGCAAGGCAAGCACCTTATCTCATATGCTATCTCTCTGGTCCTACGCTCTGTGTGTGTGTGTGTGTGTGTGTGTGTGTGTGTGTTTATGTGGGGGTGCACTCAGCAGTGTTCAGGTACCACACATGGCAGTGCTTAGGGAGCAAATGCAGTGGCAGGATTTGAACCACTGTGTGGCTACAGGTGGATATAAGGCAAATACCTTAATCTTGAACAATCTCTCCAGCCTTAGAACTTACAACTCTTTTTTGGTTTGTTTCTGTTTTTTTTTGGGGGGGGCCACACCCAGTGGTGCTCAGGGATTACTCCTGGATATGCACTCAGTAATCACTCCTAGAGGTGTTTTGGGGACATATGGGATGCTGGGAATTGAACCCAGGTTGGCTGTGTGCAAGACAAATGCCCTACCTGCTGTACTATCTATTGCTTAGGCCCCAAGAATCTACAATTCTTGTGGTTGATTGTTTAGTTTTGGTCACATCCAGCTGTGCTCAGGGCTTACTCCTGGCTCTGTGCTTAGGGTCCACTCCTGGTGAACTCATGGAATTATTTGGGATGCCCAGGATTGAACTTGGGTCGGCTGCATGCAAGGCAAGCACCTTATCTGCTGAAATATCCCTCCTGCCCTTACAACCTACAACTCTTGAGAGCTCAAGGGACAGTAGTATTAAGTGGGTCTCAAACTTCTGCTGTTGGAGGGCCACTTCTCACAGGGAAAGAATCCTGAGTAACTCTCCTCTTCTATCAGACTATCTCTGGCCTCAGAATTTTCTTTTTAAGTCTGAATAAAAGTTTCATTGTATGTCTGCATCATATTTAACTTAGCCATTCAACACTGATTGAATTCCTCATAGCTTCATTGCCTTTTTTGGTGGGTTTGGGAGAATGACTAATAGAACTGGGTGAAGTGGGTACCTTAACCACCATGCTGTCTCTCTGGCCCCCTCTGTACAGCTTCCAGTTATTGTGAGAAATAACTTCAAACCAGATTGCAAAATTTTCAAGAAGATAATCCCCAAATAAATTTGTGCTGAGGAAATAGCTCAACAAGCTGGAGCACGTGCTTCGCATGTGGGAGATACGGGTTTGCTCTCTGGCGCTAACTGCTGCTCCAAGCACCACCAGGTGTGGCTCCCAAACCAAAGAGAAATTTTTTTTTTTTCCCCTTTATTTTATTTTATTTTTTTTAAAGTTGTAGATTTACATTTTTTTGTGCTTTGGTTTCAATTATACAATGATCAGATACCCATCCCTCCACCAGTGCCCATTTTCCACCACCATGGATAATATCCCTCCCACTCCCATCCCCCCATCCCCCCGTCTCTGTAACCAAAGAGAAATTTTAAATTGTATTATATTGCTTTGTTTTGATTTTTGGTCATAGCTGGCAGTGCTTGAGTGGTACTCCTGGCCCTGTGCTCAGGGGTCACTCCCACTAGTGCTCAGTGAACTCATGCAGCAGCAGGACTCCAACCTGGGCCTCCCACATACAAAGCAGGTGCTCAGACCATTCAGCTCTCTACAGCTCACTAAACAATTTTAAAGCAGAGTTAATGCCTCACTCCTTGTGATCTTACGATTTAAAACAAAGTCTGGTGAACGGGGTATTATAAATTCTATCCCTCAGTTCAAACTCTGAGTTCTATTTGAGTATAAAATTACTGAATCCCAGGGAACTCAGAGACCAAATAAGGCAAATACATACCCATATCTTCCGATATAACACCCAAATAATTACATAATCCCAAAGAAAATGGTCATGAATTGAGCACAGTTGGATGTTCTACCTTGAAGCGCTGTTGATCTCCACCCAGCCCAGTTTCCATGACACATGAAGCAAGAGGCCACCTAGAAATGTCTGCCACCTAGGAGAGAGCAAAGGTCAGCGTGAGCATTCAAAAAGACAGGCGCACGCCCTAGCTCATTGTTGAGCTAAGAACAATCGCAGGGATGTGGAAACAACCCAAATGTCCAGATGACTGGATAACGAAGTTGTGGAACTACACACACACACACACACACACACACACACACACACACACACGCACGCGCAATGGAATCTTACAAGCTGTAAGAAACAATGAATTCTTAAAGTCTGATGCAATATGGATAAAACTGAAGGGTATCATACTAAGCAAAGTAAGTAAGAAGGGAAGAGCAAATACCAAATGATGGGGGGAAAGAAAGCCAGTGTGAGTTTCTTGGAGTGCCACAGTCTCAAATACTGCCCAGTGCAGCCTGTCCACAGATGGTGCAGTCAATCTTTACAACGTTCTCCGACCGTACATCCAGTCTCTACTACCCTCTCAGGTTCAGCTTCCCATTCTGTGCTGACGTTGATAGCTTCTCGTCTTCTAGACTTTTCCTGCTCGACCTCCTCCGGACCCCAACGTAACCTTCAGTCTGCATGGATGCATTCCAAACCCTCATCCTCCTCCAAATACAGCCACTCAGACAGCCCTAGATACCAACAAGCCTAAAGCATGACTTGAATTTCTCCTTCCCCTTCCTCATCCTCTTATTCCTAACCAACCAAGCCGGAAACCTGGATGAGCCTAGCCCTGCCTTCACCCCACCTCCCTTTCTCCTGGAAACCTCCCACTGATTCCGTCCCCACGTAGGCTCTCACAGCCTAAGCCCAGCCGCCACCCTCTGCCTCACTCATCTAGGCTCTCAGCAGCTCACACCTGGCCCACAGCTTTTGTCCTCTACGTGTGCCCCACCCCAAGCTTGCCCACATCAACCATTCTCACGGAGCTGACAGAGGGGTTCTTCTAAAGTGAAATTTCAATTGCTGTATTCTATCATTTAGAAAAAAAAAGAGGGGGATAAAAGAAATAGTTTAAGGGGCTGAGTACATGCCTTGCATATACAGGAGGGCCGGGTTTGATCTGAAACCACATGGTCCCCTGTGCACTATCTGGAGGTGGCACTGAGCACCACTAAGTGGGGATAGCTCCCCAAACAAACAACAAAACAACAGCTGACTCTTCCTGGTGCCACAGGCAGCTGCTCACAGGCTCTGCCACAACACACTTGGGTCGTGAGTAATAACACAGCAGGGAGGGTGCTTGCTGTTCATACAAATCCAGTCAATCTGGATTTGATTCCCAGCATCCCATATGGTCCCCCAAGTTCACCAGGAGTGATCCCTGAGTGCAGAGCTAGAATTAAGCCCTGAGCATTGCTGGGTGTGACCCCCAAAACCAAAAAACTAAAAAAAAAACCCACTCACATGAGACTCACTTACTCAACTTGCCAAGATTACAGGGTCAAGGGCTGAAGTATCTCTCCCTTCATCCCAGTGAGAAGCAGAACAAAATGCCAAGTGAAAAACAGGGGGTACAAGACGTCTTGATCATTGGTCTTCTGGTTTTCATTTTCTTCCTGTTTTTAGCTGTTTGTTCAGTTGGTTGGTTTTTGGGTCACACCTGGCAACGCTCGGGGCTTGCTCCTGGCTCTGCTCAGGGATCACTCCTGGCAGTTTTTGGGGGACCCTATATGTTGTCAGGGATTAGATATGGGTTGGCTACATAGAAGGCAAGTGCCTTAACCTTTTATTATCTCTCCGGCCTTAACTGGTTTTGGTTTTTCAGGTGAATCATTCAGATATTCCCAAACCTTGTTTTTAGCTACTATTTAAGAACTCATCTCAGAAATGATTACCATAGACTGAAGTGTTGTGGCCCTCGAGAAACACCAGCCCCCAGGACAGTCTGTGTGATACACAGGCCTGGAACGACCACCCTCTCCCTGCCAGGACCTACCACCCTCTCCCTGCCAGGAACCGCTCTGTCCCTTGTCCTTCCAGTCACATTTCACCCTTATGAGGAGCAACTGATTGCCTGGCAGCCTTCGGGATGTGCCATTGCTTCTGAGGGTGTTCACATGGTGACCTCTTGACCTATGATGCTCTTCCCTCTCCCTGTGAGCCATGAACACCTGCTCATCCTCTGAGACCCACCTTCTATGTCTCCTCTGTGAAGTTTCCGAATCAGCTGGAGAGAACAAACTGATGTGGGCTCTGCCCTCAGCCAGTCTGGGCAAGAGCAGTAGCATCTGGGGACATTTCCAGTTGTCCTATGCAGGAGCAGGGGAGGGAGACTTGCTCCTAGTATCTGGTGAGTGGAAGATGGGATTTGGCTCTTATTATTATTTTTATATGCCCAAGTGTAAAACAACTGAAATGCCCGAAAATAAAATATATTGGGTCACAGAGACAGGTTTAACCCATGGTTTGTATGCAGGAGGCCCAGGTTGGATCCCCAACAACACTTAGACACTTGAGCTCTGTAGGAAGAAAAATGCCCAGTGAATAACAAGAGGAATGAGAGGGGTGCTAGGAGCAGCCCCAAAATGCAGAGCCAAGAGTAGCCAATGAGCGTGGCCAGGTATGGCCCCCAAACAAAAAAAGACAAGATAAACCAAAAAAGAATGGCTATAAAAATGACAATCTTCAATGAAAAAAAAAAAACCTATGCAGTCAGTAAAAATATTTTTGGTTTGGGGGCTAGACCTGAGCCTCACTCCTGGCTCTACACTCCTGGCTCTTCACTCATTCCTGGAGTGGCGTGGGGGACCACCTGGGGACTAAACCTGGGTCAGCCACAAGCAAGGCAAGAGCCCTACCCACTGGACTATTGCTCCAGCCCCCGGTAAAGATACTTTAGGTTTTTTAATGGAAGTTATGTTGTATTATAGCATTAAGTTTTAGGTATGCATCACTGAAAATCAACATTGTGTATACCACCAACATTCTTACCATTGCCCCTATTTACCTTATTTACACACACACACACACACACACACACACACACACACACACCCCTTCCCTTTTCCCTCTAATAATCACTAACTTGTCATTAAAGGTAAAGGTAAAGGTAAAGGCCCTCCCGTTGATCGTCGATTTGCTCGAGCGGGCCCAGTAACGTCTCCATTGGAGACTTTGTTGTTACTGTGTCTGGCATATCGACTACTCTCGGTAGCTTGCCGGGCTCTCCGAGGGGGGCGGAGGAATTGAACTCGGGTCAGCCATGTTGGCTGCGTGCAAGGCAGACGCCCTACCCGCTGTGCTATCTAGCTGAAATATTTACTTTTGTTTTATTTATTTAGTCTTTGTCTTCTCTATATTTTACACATGGGTGAAACTGGACAATGTTTGTCATTCTCCTTCTGACTTAATTCTCTAAGTGTAATGCATACTCTGTGGTTTTTAATAGTCCGTAGTTTTGTACTGTGCCTTTCCTCAGGTGTAAAAAAAGTTGAAAACGACTGCATTTGGTCCATCCATGTTTTATCAAACATTTAAGATGGTGGTAGGATATTTCTTACAAATATATATAAAGATCATAAAAGATACTCACCCTTGGAATAATGTAGGATAGGTAAATTTCAAGACCGACAGGACATACTGAAAAACAAATACCAGATAAATGAACATTTCTAATTCTATAATCCAAAAAACTCTATTAAATAAATGTAAGTATACTCAACTTCCAAAAAAGCACTTTATTACTCCCAAAATCATATAGTAGGAAAAATAATCTTCCAGGTCATTCTAAAGAGAGTGGACTTGCTTCTACCACGCCTCCCAGAAGTGTGACCACATTAGAGATGAAAGAAAATGAAACCAGTATCAAGTGTGAAGAAAAAGCAGAGTCTCTGGGTCTGAGGGTGTCAATTTCCAGTCATTCAGTATCTTCCCAAACCCCAGAAGTGCCATCTGCAGTGACAGCGACTCCTGGAAAACTGGAAAAACTCTTGGATGAAATCTTCTATTGTCCAGTCAGCTACAAATCCAACCCCTTTCACTACCACTCTTGAAGTAAGTGAAACCTCTTAGTAATTCTTTCCATTGTTGTCCTTCATCTTTAGGGTCTGGTTTGGTTTTTGCATTTTTTTTTTCTTTTTGGGTCACACCAGGCGATGCACAGGGGTTACTCTTGGCTCTTCACTCAGGAATTACTCCTGGCAATGCTCAGGGGACCATATGGAATGCTGGGAATCAAACCTGGGCATGGCCGAATGCAAGGCAAATGCCCTACACACTGTGCTATCGCTCCAGCCCCTGGTTTCTGCATTCTAAGAATTTTTTTTCCTCTAATTCTGCTTAGGTGTCTTAAAATTTTTATTGTGTTTTAGCATCTTAAGGATTTTTTTTTTTAAATAAAGTAACGTAGCTAAGGTGAATTTGTATGTATTTCTTTCCTTTAAAAAATTTTTTTTTTGGCCACAACTGTCTGTGTTCAGTGCTGACTCCTGGCTCTGTGCTCAGGAACCACTCCTGGCAGGGCTTGGGAACCATATTGGGTGCCAGAGATTGGGTGTGAGTCTGCCATACGCAAGGCAAGCACCCTACCCTCTGTACTATCATCTAGTGACCACATGCCCCCTTAAGTAATCTTTTTTTTTAAACACCACACCCTAAGACACTCGGGGTTTACTCCAATCTCTGCATTCAGGGATCAGTCCTGGAGGGGTTCTGGGGATCATATGGGATGCCAGGGATCTAACCCTGGTCAGCCTTATGTGCCTTACCACAGTACTATTGCTCTCGTCCCTGAATTTGTGTGTTTTACAAATTTAAACAAATTTACAGAACTTTATGGGCTGACTCTAGTTCAATCCCTGGTACCCCATAAGACCCCCCACCAAGTCCCTCCAGGAGTGATCCCTGAGTATACAGTCAGGAGGAAGGCATGAACACTGCAAGGTGTGGTGTCCCTGGCACACAAAAAAAGAAGTCCAAACTCATTAAATGACTCTGGGCACGAACTCTGAGTCTCTGTAGCACTGCAGCACTGTCCTCTCATGGTTCATGGATTTGCTTGAGCGGGCACCAGTAACGTCTCCATTGTGAGACTTGTTGTTACTGTTTTTGGCACATCGAATATGCCACAGGAAGCTGACCAGGCTCTGTATGATATAAAAAAATGAAGGATAGTATATTGACTTTAGGAAAGTTTATACATTGATTCCCCCCGAACCCCCACTCATGGATTAAGCTACACATAATTTCCCTTGTTAGAACTCCCAAAAGTCACAGGTTTTGCTGAGTGTTGGTGCTTGGTCTGTAAGTTTTAGACAAGACCTCATGCATTCCTAAAGTCTATCACTCAAGAAAGTCAAGATACACCTCCACCCCACCTGTCCCCAATATTTTTATTCTAAAATAGAGACCGAGAAGGACTGGAAACATAACACAAGGGTCAAGGCATTTGCCTTGCATGCTGTCAATCCCAGTGTGCTCCTCAGCACCAACCACAGATGGTCCCCATAGCAGGGTCACTTCTGAGCACAGGGCCAGGAAGAGCCCCTGTGCACTGCGAGATTTAGCCCACACTTCTTTTTTTATTTTTTTTTCAGAAGTCAATTTATTTATTTTTTTTTCTTTTTTGGATCACACCCAGCAATGCTCAGGGGTTACTCCTGGCTTTGCATTCAGGAATTACTCCTGGCAGTGCTTGGGAGACCATATGGGATGCTGGGGATTGAACCCGGGTGGGCCGCGTGAAAGGCAAACACGCTACCCGCTGTGCTATTGCTCTGGCCTCAAACTTTTTTTTTTTAAGTAAAAAATAAAATACCAACAAAGAAAAGATTCAGTGAAGACTGGGTCACACCCTATATCACCCATAACAAATTCATAAAAATAACTAAGTAAATATACTTAGTTCATGTGTGCTGAGCTTTGGCCTACACTCTAGGAGAGATAAAATGCTGAAGTGAACGCCTCTCCTTGCTAAAGGACAGAGGGGGGAAAAATCTCTGAGAAGTGAAACCAAAGTCCTTGATATTTTTCCTATTACCAATTTCTTATGTCACCCACAGAAAAGTGTTGCTCAGAGCAAAATGTAATTTGAAGGAAAACATCAGCAGGAGGACAGAGGTGGGCTCTTTGGACAGACAGGAGCCAGACAAGCTGTGGGGAAGGACAGAGCCCTGATTCCACCCAAGGCAGTTACCCCTGTAACTGCTGGAGCCTCTCACAGGCTGGAAGAACACGCTGGGCTCAGATGGTGGCCAGGAAAGCCGGCAGCCTTGATTTCCAAACTCTGAACAAAAACCAAGCACTCTATTATATGTAAGGAGGAGTGAGACTAAGAAATACAAAATTCTGTTTTGGTTTTGATTTTTCTTTTTTAAATAGTTTTTGGGCCATACCCAGCATTGCACAGGGGCTACTTACTTCCAGCTCAGTGCTCCAGGGAGCATGTGGTGCTGGGGACTGAACCTGGGTTCCCTGCATGCAAAGCTTGTGCTGCAGCCCTTTGAGCCATCTTTCTTGCTCAGAAATACAAGATTTTAAAAAACAAAAATAAATTTTCTTTCTGAAACTAAAGGGAAATAACTGAAGGAGAAAAGAAACACAAAAAATATGAAAGTAAAGAAAATAAAAATGTGTGTGTGTGTGTGTGTGTGTGTGTGTAGATGGTACAGCAGGTAAGGTACTTGCTTTGCATGCAGCCAATTTAGGTTCAATTCCCAGAAATGTATAGGGTCATCAAAGCCCCACCAGGAGTAATTCTTGCGGCATAGAGCCAAGAGACAGCAAATGAGCACAGCTGGGTGTACCTCCCACCCCCAAATAAAAGCAGGCCTACCAGGAAGTCAGTAATACCTATTTCCACTTGTATCCTGCCTGTTTTATTGTTTGGAAAATGACTGTGTCCTGATTTTTGAAAAAATAAAGAAATAAATAAGGAAAGGGAAAAAGGAAGGAAGGAAGGAAGGAAGGAAGGAAGGAAGGAAGGAAGGAAGGAAGGAAGGGAGAAAGGGAGTGAGTTAGGGAGGGAAGGAGGGAGGGAGGGAGGAAATAGGGGTAGGGGAGCTAGGTCAATGGGCAGGAGCACATGCTTAGTATAAGGAGCCCTAGGATTGATACCTAGTACCACTTCGCCAGTTATGCCATCTCCCAATAGCCCTAAACCAAAGTATTCCAAACAACTGTAAAAAAAAAAAAATGCAGAAGGATGCCGGTTAGGCGATTGTTTAAATTGTAAATCTGTGATTTTGATTTTGTTTACTTGGGGGCCATGCTCAGTGGTGGTTGGGGCTACCACTCTGGTGCTAGGGGGACCATGCAGCACCAGGGTCAAACTTGGAATTCCAAATTCAAAGCACTGTGCTCCAGTCCTTGGCCCCAGCCTCGGGGAGATTCATCTTAGATATTCATGTTAAATATTCCTGGGGGACATGACAATTTTGTTTATTTGTATCTAGCTCCTTAAAGCATGATACACATGGGAAATACTTGGTCTTCATCACATTGATTATGGTAATAGTGCACTGCGCCCAACAAGTTCAGTCAATCAATACCTAAATAACACTGAGCACCCAGGGCTGGAAGAAGTACACAGCTACCTAATGACTGTTCTATTGAAGTATACTTAAAAAAAAATGCATGGCTTGTGGGTTTCCAGGAAATACCCTGTTACTAATGTTCCTTCTATGTAATGAAAGGAAGGCCATTCTGCTTTGAAGTTAAATGTAATATCCTCAAGTTAGTTAGACAACTTAGGACAGTGAAATGGAAAAGGCTGATTGACATATTCCTGAGTTGGTACTGCAGGTCTCTTATAGTTTAGCTACCTCTCCCAGAAAGAAAAATAAAATCTGTTAAAGGTCAATAGTTACTGTTCGATACCACATGCAAAACTTGTATTTTCTTCCTCCATTCTTTTCTTCTATGAGTAATTAGCACTTATAATTTGAGCATATACTCTGATATATGCTCATTACTTGGCCAACCACCTTATAAACATCATTTCGATTAATGCTCACAAAAACCCTTCTAAGGGGACTTTTCATTTTGTTTGTTTTGGGACCACACCGGCCATACTCGGGGCTTGGTCCCAGCTCTGCACTCAGGAATTACTGAGTGCTGGTGCTTGGGGGGACCATATGGGGTGTCAGGGATCAAATCCAGGTTGTCTGTGTGCAAGACAAACACCCAACCAACTGTGCTATCACTCCAGCTCTATCGTAGAGGACATTTTATGTTTTTTAAATGTTGGGTCTAGAGGCCAGACAGACAGTACAGAGGTTGAGGCACTTGCTTATCTTGCATGCAGCCAACCATCCAGTTCAGGCCTCAATACCACTTGTGGTTCCCTGAGCACTGAGCCAGGAGGAAGCCCTGAGCACTTCCAGGTGTGGCCCCAAACAACAATCACCACCACCAAAAAAAAAAAAAAAGACTCAAAATTAGGTTGAGTTAACTAGATTAAATCCCCAAAACCAATAGAAGGATCCTGGGTATAAACCTATCAGCATCTCCCAACAAGTCTCAATACAACAGATTTTCAGAGCCAGGAAATGGCTCAGGTAACTAGAGCATATGCAAAGCATGTGGAAGCCCTGGGTTCGAGCCCTGGCACTGCAGGGTCCTTCGAGCACTTCATGAAACAAAGCCCACCCCAACACCCCAGCACTACCAGGCATGGCCCCAAACCAAAGAAAGAAATAAAAGAGCCCAATAAAAGCCCAGAACTCTAAAAATCAACTGGATGGGGGAAATCCTTTGAAAGCATCCTTTGAAAATATTGAAGAGATATCACATCCTTTGGAAATACTGAAGAAAGACAAGAGAACTAATGTCAGGCGAATTTTATGGTTCTTTGCAGAGAGCAAGAGCAGACAGGAATCAGGAAAGAGCAACACATACCACACCAAGGTCGTCCTGAGCCTGTTATCACCACTTGGCTTGGTGTCCAGCCCAAGGTTCTGTTTGGAGGTGATGCCTTACTGTAGCCCCCAAAAGTCCAATATTTCCTTACATGGTACCAAATCCAATTTTTTTTTTTTACAATGATCAAGTCCCCATACCTCCAAATCCAATTTTTTAACAAAACAAAAACACAGCATCACTGTTAGAGTATCCTGGCATTTATGAAATAAGTTCATGGCAAATCTTGGGGGACCAGAAAGACAGTATAGGAGTGATGGCATTTTGCTTTGCACGGGTCAACCTGAATTTGACTCCGACACCACATATAGTTGCTCAAGATGGGAACGATCCCTGAGCACAACCAGTTGTGGCTCTCAAACCAAAAATATTAATATTGATTTTACAATATCTTTAAAAAGGGAGGGAATCTGTGAATACATGCAAGTGGCTGAGAGCAGGGATCCGTGGTGTGAAAGGAGATGGGAGTGACTTCTACTTGCAGGGTTCGGCGGCAAACCAGGTTTCAGAAAAGATGTGCGGGAAGAGAACAGAAGCCAGTTGCTTTCTTTCCCTAAAATGTGGTCCACACAGTTCAAAATTAAGTTACGGAGAATTTGCCAGTCAAAACCCCCAGTTTCCCAGGAAATGTTAAAGGCTGCTTGCCAGGTCAGGAAACGCTTCTCTGCCTACAAATTTCTAACTGTGCAGTCGAATTCTATTAGGACAAAAGAGTGCAGTTCAGCCCAACAACTCCTATTTCTAGAAGTGCATCTCACAGTCTGACACTTCTCCATCATCATCTGGGGCTTAAAAATAAAACAGTCAAAAGATCTGGAAATGACATTTGTTCCAAGTTCTGGAACTCGGATAGATGTCACGCGCGCGATCATCCCTTCCCCAGGACCGCCCCCATCACCTTGTTCGTGAGGTAAGAAGCCAGATAGCAGGTACAGAAGGTGAGGCAGGCCAGGCTCTTCCTCGAGTACATGGGTTAACTGGTTCCCCAGCCTAAGGGGCAGCTGCCCAGCTCCAAAGCGGCAGCCTGGGCTGCGAGCCACCGCCACAGCCACCGCGGGAAGCCACGTGGCCAGCGCTCAGCCAATCGGCGCAGGGACGCCTCCCGGACACCCGGCACCGGCTTCTTAAAGGGGCCGTGCCACCTTGGGTCCACAGCCCTAGGGTGGGCGGGGCCGCATGCTTCAAATTCTGAGTCCGCTAGAGAGAATCTGGGTCCCTGGCTGATAGCAGAGGAGGAGAGAGGTCGATCTGTAGCGAAAGGGAGGAGGGGAGGAAGAGAGGAAGGAAGGAAAGTTGTTTTGGGGCCACAGGAAGGAAGGAAGGAAGGAAGGAAGGAAGGAAGGAAGGAAGGAAGGAAGGAAGGAAGGAAGGAAGGAAGGAGAGAATGAAAGAGAAAGAGCAGAGGAGAGAAAGAGGGAGAGAGGAAGGGAGGAAGAGAAAGAAAAAGGAAGGAAGGTCGGTTTGGGGCCACACTTTGGGACGGAAACCCCGGTTTCATTTCTTCCTTATTCTTGCCAACTTCCTCTTCCTTTCTCCCACTTCCCTTTGCTGTTGTTATTGTTGTGGTGATGGGGGTCACACTCACCTGGAGTCACACATCTGGTTGGGGTGCCTGCTGGAAGAGGATTTACATACTTTTAATGGCGGTTGCTTACACCCTCATTAAGAGTTCACACTCCTTTTTCTGTTTGGAGGCTTACTGAGCCCATATATATGCTCCCATATCATTAGTTGTGGTGCTTGCAAGAGTTGCTACTTCATTTGTGGTGTGCATTCACCTGACTGCAATGGGCCAGAGATTTTAAGGGTCAGGAGTCCAATGCAGTGGAGCTACCCACTTAGAATGCATGTGCAGCTGGGGAATTTAACTCAGTCTCTGGCTTGCAAGGCAATTGCTTAGTACTTCTAAGCCATTCCCTGGGCCCCCATTTATTACTTTGGTGGAGGGTGGAAGATTGGGCCACACCAGTGGTGCTCAGAGGCTACTCCTGGTTCAGTGCTGGGGGTGCTATGGGAACTAGGATGTGCCAGGGATAAAGGGAATTGAACCAGGGTCTGCACATAAGCCAAATTCTTAACCCACTGCAGGATCTCTCCCGCCCAGTCCTTTTGTTATACCCCGAGATGCTCTGGGATCACTCCTAGCAGTGCCAGCGAAAGAATCAAGGCAGTTTAAACAGTGTATGTGTATAGAATGGAGAATGTTCTGAGCAGAAGGACGAAAAAAGAAGGAATCCTGCATTGCATGGTCCACCAACCCCATAGAATCCAGAGGGCAGACAGAAGCACCAAGGGATGTGACTCAAGAACATAAATTTTAATCAGTAGTGCTCTGGTACATTGCGGTCACTTAATGAGGCGCTCATAAAATACCACTTAAAACTTTAATGATGTATTTAAAACTTTAATTTTGCTCGCTGCCATGTAACACACATTGTATATTTCATACCCCCACGCTGGTCTCCATAAAACAATAACTGCAATAATAATAAAGTAGGACAATCTCCTTCAGTCTCCCTCCCCAGCCTCACTCAACCTGACATCATCATCTGTCTCTCAAGCCATTTCGAGTTTAGAATTAGCCCAGGAAACAGAAATGAAGAATCTGGCTCATTTGTTTATTTACAGTCAACGCAGAGCGATCCGCGATCCCGTTTTCACTAGAACCAGAGAGAGGCGCACTCACTCGGCCAGGGAAGAAGGGAGGGGACGCAGGGGTGGAAGTCGGGGCTAAGCCTGGCCAGGAAACCACACCCGGCCCTGCGGTGCCCGTACGGACAGTGACCACTAGCCCCAGAGCGCAGGGCAGCGGCCGGAAGTGCGGCCGCGCGGGGCGGGGCGAGGGTGGATTGGGGGCGGGGCCTGAATCGGGCGGCCAATCGGAACCGACGATCCCGAAGCCAGGGGCGGAAGAGACGCGACCGAGTTCCGGCCGCGGCGGGCGCCGCCGCCATCTGTCATCTCCAGCTCCGGCTCCGGCCGCCCTCGCCCGGGTCCCGGCGGCCGCTTCTCCGCGGAGACCACTTCCCCGCACTGCCGCTTCTCGGCTCTCTTCTCGGCGCCGGCTTCTAAGCATGGACCTGGTCGGAGTGGCCTCGCCCGAGCCCGGGCCAGCAGCGTCCTGGGGACCCAGCAAGGTGAGAGGCGACCCTGGGGGGTGACGCTCCTCCTGCCGCCGCAGCCCCCGGGGCTGTACCTCTTCGGGGGTCCAGACGAGGCTGACAGGCGTCGACACCATCCCACGGGCATGGGGGGAGTCCGGGAGGGCGCGCTGGGGAGGGGGAGGGGCAGTTCGGGGTCTTCCCCTGCCCCGTCCCTGCCTCCCCAACCCCCGCGTCTCCCCGGGACAGCTGCTCATACCCTCCGGCATCTGCAGGCAGCCCGGCAGCACCTTGTCTTTCTCGGGCCCAGGGACTCAGCCCGACCCGTGGAGCCGCTGCTCCACCGGGGACGGAGTGCAGCCTCCTGCCTCGGCCAATGCTTGTTGTTTTTGTTTGCAGCAGGTCGGAGAAACGGTGAAGCCAAGCACACGCTTCCCACCAGGCTTGGCTGCCTGACTTCACCGGTTCCTACCCTAGCCCACCCTTTTGGTTTCTTTCTGTTTTTCACGCTGATCCTTTTTTTTGTTTTGTTTTGTGTTTTTTTTGTTGTTGTTGTTGTTTTAAATGTGGTGCTGTGATTGGCAGGAGGAAAAAGACTCTCCCAGCACTTGGCTGAGGGTTTACTTGACAGCAAAAGTTGTGGGAGGCTGTATGCCTCAGGGTGGTGAAGGAATCCAACTTTTGCAGCTTCCTAATTGCTCTTTACAAGGTAACACCAACCATGTGTTTTACTTTGGAGAGCCACTGTTGGCGTTTTCTTGGCTCTTCAGGGTAGGTACAAACAGAAAATGGAGGAAATAGTTAAAGTAAAGGCAAGAGTGAGTTTCGGACATTTTTCATACAGCAGTAGGGAGAATCTGGGCTATTCCCTTGGCAAATGTGACTGCATCTCCAGGTTGTGTAATTTTCAATTTCAGAAAGCCTTTGTTCACAAGGGCAAGATCAGAAATAAAAGGACAGAATCAGTTGACAGATGCTACAAGAGATCCTGCATAAGAAGTTCCTCCAGTTAAGCAAGTGTCTGTAAAAGCTGCTGAGTATGTTAAATGAGACAAACTTTGTTCAGAATGCATCCTAACCGTCTGGGAAAAAATTAACTTTCAAAGCTAATTCAGTAATGAATAATTGATATCAACCTTGTTTTTCATCATTCAACAAAAACTTTATTCTGGGGCTTTTTTTTTTTTTTTTTTGGCTTTTTTTTAGTCACACTTGGGGAAGCACAGGAGTTACTCCTGGCTCAGACACTTAGGAATTACTCCTGGCGGTGCTTGGGAGACCATATGGGATGCTGGGAATCGAACCTGGATCAGCCCAAGGCAAACACCCTACCTGCTGTGCTATTGCTCCAGCCCCTATTCCGGGGCTTATTAATAAGCTAGTAGGAAGGTAAGGTTTTAACTGGCAAAGCTATTACAAAGAAGCTACAAATATTATGCAATCCTCTTTGGGTGGTGGTGAGCCACACCTGGATGTACTCAGGGTTTAGTCATGACTCTGAGGTCAGGGATCACTCCTGGTGGAGCTGGTGGGACCATGTGTAGTGCTGGGGATCACATACATGCAAGGGATGCTCCTTAGTCCCTGTCCTGTCTCTCTGGTCATTGTAACCTCCTCAAACCTGTTGGAAAATTGAAATGATTGCAGAAGTCCAATTGGAATAGGTAAAGATTTGAGAAAGGTCTTAAAAAAAAAGGAAAGTATATTAAAGGCTAGTGATTTTCAAAGCTTTTTTTTTTTTTTATCAAAACCTCTTTACAATCTCAGGGGGCTGGAGAGATAGCACAGCGGATAGGGCATTTGCCTTGCACATGGTGCCGACCCCTGTTCGATTCCCAGCATCCCGTATGGTACCCTGAACACCGCCAGGAGTAACTCTCAAGTGCTGAGCCAGGAGTAACCCCTGTGCATCCCCGGGTGTGACCCCCCCCCCCAAAAAAAAAAGCTCTTTACAATTTCAGAATTACTGAGGACCTCAAAGAACTTTTGTTTTTATTGTTCATATCTATTAATATTATATCAGAAATGAAAGAGTAATTTAAATACATATCTACATACACAAATGCATTTTATACTTTAAAATGCCCAAACAAAAATACATATATAATGAAAATTTTTTTTCTCATCTCTTTGTTTTAATGGAAGACACCTGAATCCTTGTGTTTTTTTTCCCCCTTTTGGTCTATTCAGTATTTTTTGATTGAAATACTGTAGAAAATTCATCCTCATGAAAGCCAGAAATGTGACTCAAATAACAGAGTACATACATGACATGCATTTTTGAGGCTCAGAGTTCAAACATCAGAACCCTAAACCATTGTCTCCTTTAGCATTATAGCATGATGTGATAGCCATAATGACAAAGAAAAGAAAAAAATCCAGTCTCACAAATGTGTACATTATAGCAGGCACAATGGAGATAGATAGTAAGCACAGTGAACAAGTGAACATAAGAAGAATAAACTGAGTTAATCTCTAAGAATGCACACTTTTATTCTGGATTTCCTAGCAGTAATTTTTGGAAAACACAAGACTACACATCTTTTGACTGGTGTCATCGTATCTAATGCAGACTTTGGAAAGCTCCACACCCTGGGAGAATGAGGAGGGAAAGACTTAGTATACAGTCAAAAACAAACACAGTCCTCATGTTCATCGATTTGCTCGAGCGGGCCCAGTAACATCTCCATTTTTGAGACTTGTTGTTACTGTATTTGGAATATCGAGTACATCACCGGTAGCATGCCAGGCTTTGCCATGCAGGCAAGATACTCTCGGTAGCTTGCCAGGCTCTGCAAGAGGGGAGAAGGAATTGAACCCGGCTCGGCCGGGCTGGCTGCGGTGCAAGCAAACACCCTACCACTGTGCTATCGCACCAGCCCAGCTTAATATAAGTAGGGAAATAATTTTTACCTTGCCTATACCCTAAAAGGAACCTCAGGTCCTCAAACCCAGAGGTACCTGTAATGAAATATCAAATTGCTGTTGGGGGCAAGAATTTTAGGGACTATTCCAAGAAAGGAAGATTGACGAAACTAGGCAAAAGTGAGGAAGTGGGTAACTATTGGGAAGAGCCACGAACAGTGGGTTAGTGGTCGGCCTCCAAGCATGGAAATTCTCAGAACACTCAAATTCAGGACCTGAGAGATAGAACAGAGGGGTTGAGTTGCCCTGCTTTCAGAGGGCCCCATTTCCATTCCTAGCACCACACGCTTCCCCACCTGCACCCCTGCCCAGAGTTCTTTCAGACCCCAGGCCCCCTGTACAAATAAAATTTAAGTTGATCAAATATAAGGAAAGTCTGAACGCTCATACCTGAGAAAAAACTAAAGAGATAAGACAAAATATTAAGTAACTAGTCCTGAATGAACTAGAATGGAAAGGAACTCTAGGGAGATCCCAAGGAAATCTGAGTACCTGTGGGTGTTAGTTAATAACATGTAAATGTTGATTCATTAGCTGTGACTAGTGTGCAGTCCCAAACGGGAAATTAGGTGTGGCCTGTTTAGGAACTCTACTTGCCTTTGCATAAAAACAAACCAAAAAAAAAAAAAACTACAATAAAATTTGAACTTAAAAGAAATAGGTATGTGATGTTATATAGCCCCAGTTCATGTTTTCCAAATATTACATTATCTTCAATGTAATATTTTTAACCCACTTTCTTTACCCACATAAATATTCTACCTAGATTTTATCTTCTTCCTCTGTGGATAGAAAAAAAAAGATTGTCCTGTTGATATGATTCTCTTGGCCTGCTTCAAGTTGAGGATTGGACTTTTGTTGTTATTTTCCTTTTATGTTGTTGCTTTCTAACTTTACTTGACTCGTGCCCCATAGTCGCAGTAAAATATTTTCTTGAAAAAAAATGGGATGGGCAGCTTTTGGGGCATCTTCAGGAACTGGGAGGGAAGAGAGGAATGAGGCCTCTCAAATTTCAGCCATCTAGCTGTGGGAGATTGTGTTAGTGTAAAGAGCTTCATGGAACAGAGTTTGTTGGTGGCAGCTCCCACCGGACAGAAAAATGTGGGCCTCAAGGACCTTTCAGTAAATCAGGAAGTTGTTTATGGGTCTTACAATTGACATGTCAAGAAGCAGCATCACTGAAAAGGATTGTAAGGTTTTCTTACCACTTTTCTTCCCTTCTCTTTCATTTGTTGCCCTTGATTTCTCTCCTCTTCCCTTTGTTGTTGTGATATCCGGGGCTCCCATGCTTGGCTATGGTGTGCTAGGGGTAGCACTCATCGATGTGGGGCCGCAGCTGAGGACTGAACTTATGCATGCAGCCCAGGTGACCTACCAGTACTGAGTCTAACCCTGACCTCCGCCATGAAGGTATCCAGGACCTCGTACACATGAATCGTGCACTCTGCCCCGGCACTCTAACTCCCAGAGCCCTTCTTGATGCAATGCTGAGCTTATGTTGATGAAGGGAGTCGTGGGAAATGACATTGGGTAGCTTAAAGGGCCTTCCTCTCTGTCTACTTAAATTTATTATTAAAGGCTAACCTTTTTACTGTGTTCACAAAATATTTGATTTAATAAATTCAGAGTATTGACACAGAACTTTCCTAGGCATAGCCCATGGTACCAGTTTGTTGTAAAGCCTCCACAACATTTTGTAAGCCCTTCCTTATGTGCTCGTGGGAGACTGTTAGTTGCTCCTACCTGTGAAAGGCAGCTGACTTTTCACAGCTCAGCATTGTTTATGGACTACAGGTTTGAAGAGTTTGAATTTGATTTCAAAATACCACCTTTTGGAGTTTGGCAAACTTCGGGAAGCCTTAATGCAAGTTACCTTTGTATCATGTTATCCAGTGACGCTGGTGAGCAAAGGTCTGATTCGATTCACTCTGAAGCGTAAGCTGCAAGGAATAAGATCAGCAGGAGAGGACAGATAGGGGATTTTGACTCTGTCTGTGGCCTCTTCGTGCTTCTCTCTCTGCTTCACTTTGTGTTGAGAATGTCTCTACCTCAAAGTTACTATGACTACCCGTTGATTTTTGCCTCTTTGAGGAATTGTCTGCTGATACTTGAACACCTTAGTTAGAATTATGTGCCTGGTGGTAAAAGAAACATTGGAAGTGGATGGGCAAAGGGACCAATTTTCAGGTGAGGAACAGTGCTTTAGATAGCAGGATTGTAGGTCTCTCTGCAGAGCTTCAGTGGAGATAATCCGGAAGTTCTTTTGGTCCATCTGGCTTAGTACTTGATTGCCTCTCAGATTGATGCACTGTGGGCCACAGAGACTGAGGATCTCGGCCCTTGAAGCAGCTCCTGGGATACGTGGCTGATGCGGTACCTCTAAGCAAACCCTACACTTAGAGCTTTTGCAAAATGATTAGGAACACAAAGGAAAAGATCTCATTTTAATTTTGATGAAATTGAGACTGCCTTTTGGAAAAAGTGATATTTACGGGGTATAGAGAAGGGAGAGCAAACACTGAGAGGAAAGGATGGGTCATGAAGGCGTGCCTCTTCCCCTTGCGAGTGTTGTGTGAGCACAAGGGAGGTGAGAGTGGAGGCTAGGGAGATAGTTTAGGTCAGCTTGTGGAGGGCAACCCTGGGTGAGGAATTTGGATTTTAAAATGAAGGCAGCGTAACTGTATTTGCTTCCCTCCCAGGATTAGGTGATTAGGGAAGGCGTATAGCGCAAAAGCTTAGAAGGTAGCTGTTTAAATTCTGTTGTTTTGGGTCAAATCTCTGCACTCCCATCTACAGTGTTATCTTGAGTTAAACCTAAATGAATAACTCCGTAAAACAGGGCTGATACTGCATCTACTCACTCACGTGACTTAGTCCATGGACGTCGTCAACTGACTCAGAATAAATACTCAAATGCTGTGTCATGTTACTGTTAGTCATTGTGAAATGGAATTGACAGTTCTGAATTCGAGGATGCAGTCATTTACCTTCTGGAACCTGGACTTTAAAACTGATTAGAACAAGTTTTTCTGGGCTAAGAGGCAGCATTATGTCTTCAACCCAGAGGATCCAGAAGGAAGTCAGTAGAATCATGCAGCCAAAAGATCAGCTGTATTTTCCAATTTCCCATGAAACTGAAGACAGACCTCAAAGTTCTCTCCAGGAGACTGGTCAGTTGTTATTAAGGTCTGAGTAAAGAAGACTTCGAGGAAGAAGCCTTCCTTTGTCTGCAGGTCTGATTTGATAAAGCAGGGTAATTCAGCATTAGACTTTTGTAGGTCATGTTGGTTATGGGGTGTGTCTCAATAGTCTTAGGACTAGACTGAATAAAACTTGATTCTGATTCACTTTGGCATAAATAACTTTTTACCTTAAGTGCGGCTCCTAACAACCGAAGCGAAGTAGACTCTTGAACTTCAGTTCTTGAACAGGAGCCAGTTGCCCAGTCGACTCCGAGTTGAAGCAGCAGGCCATTAGGCCAACTATAGAGACCTGTGCTGAATTAACTTAATGAAATGCATCCAAACAGGTACATCACAAGCTCTGCTCTAAGTCAGAGAGTACTCATTTACAAAAAAAAAAAAAAAAAGACCTTGGACTTTATTCTAAAGACAGTCCAAAGACTTTATTCTAAATAAAGCCTCTATTTTTATTTTCTAGGAGGGCCACACCAAGTGGTGCTCAGGGTTTGCTCAGGGATAAATACTTGCTGAGCTCAGGGCACCATATGGGGTGCCAGGAATCCAACTGGTAAGGATGAGTCTTGAATCTGATCTGCAGCATTACCTCATATACTAAGACCTCAACCCCAGCAGCACAGCTCTTTGGGGTCACCAGCACCACCACAAAGTGTGTAGACTCTGGGGCCCCAATATTGAGTGTGAGCACCATAGCCGAGCTTAGGCCTTTACAACAAAGGAAGGAAGAAGAGAGTAGAATTGTGTAAGTATATTTTTAATTGAGGTAACATAGTTCCCAATAGTGCCCATATTATTAGTCTGTACTTTCTGGGCTGGAGCGATAGCACAGCGGGTAGGGCGTCTGCCTTGCACGCAGCCAACATGGCCGACCCGAGTTCGATTCCTCCGCCCCTCTCGGAGAGCCCAGCAAGCTACTGAGAGTATTCGATATGCCAGACACAGTAACAACAAAGTCTTCAATGGAGATGTTACTGGGCCCGCTCGAGCAAATCGATGATCAACGGGAGGGCCTTTACCTTTTTACTTTCTGTGCTACTTCCTGCCGCTCCATCAGTGTCATTATCCTGAGATCCCTTCTCCTACCCCGGCATGGCCCTGTCTTGGATTTGTTTCCTCTGGAAACTGTGTAGTCCCTTGCTTTGTTTCTTTATACTGCACATACGAGTGAGTCTTTTTGTTGTTGTTTGTTTTGTTTTTTACTTTTTGGGTCACACCCAGCAATGCTCAGGGGTTACTCCTGGCTCTGCACTCAGGAATTACTCCTGGCGGTGCTGGGGGACCAGATGGGATGCTGGGAATCGAGCCTGGGTCGCAGGCATGCAAGGCAAATGCCCTACCCGCTGTGCTATTGCTCCAGACCCCCACATATGAGTGAGATTGATTGTCTTTTTCTTTTTGACTGTTGTCACGTAGCACAGTATCCTCCCATTCCAGCCCAATTGCAATGAACTGTAGGATTTCCTATTTGCTCCTGAGTATTATTCCTTTGGACATCTGTTGCTGTTTCTTTATCTACTCATCTTTATCCACTTGGGCTGTTTCCAGACCTTGGCTATGGTGAAGAAAGCTGCAGTGTACATTGGTGTGTGTATATCCTCAAGGATTAATGTTTTAGTGTTCTTGGAGTAGGTGTGTAGGAGGATTTCCAGGTCATTACAAGTTTTCTATTCGTAGTTTTCTGAGGCATCTCCATGCCGTTTTCTAGAGAGACTGAACCGAACAGGCCCAGGAGTGGGAACGAGGTGCTGGCTTTCTCTGCCTCGCCTCCAGCACTGGGAGTTGCCTTTCTTTGTGGCGTTGGCCATTCTCACTGGTATGAGCTGGTCGCTTATTGTTTTTTTTTGTTTGAAATGTGGCAAAGCAAAAAGTTGGTTTTTATTTTTAATTGAACCTCTGTGAATTAGAAAGTTATTCATGATTGAATTTCAGGTGAGCAGTGTTCGAATACCCATCCCTTCACCAATGACCTCTTCCCTCCCGGTGTCCCCAGTTTCCTCCTCTCCCAGCCTCTACGGCAGCACTTTTTACAAACTCCTTTCAGCACTTCTTTATTACTGCTTTTTAATTTAGGAAGTATAAATACTTCAGTATTTATATCCATTGCCTCACATGTGTGAGGCCCAGGGTTCAATCCATGGCACAACCAAAATAAATACATAAATTGAAAAAAATAAAAGTTAGGGAAATTGTGAAAGAATTGTGTTTCAAAAAGACTGAGTGATGTCACTGAGGAAAGTCAACTCATTGGCCAATCAGTAAGGTTCTTCCACTATTTGCCATAGTGGTATTGTTTCAAGAACCTATTTCTCAACTTCTCGAGTTCAGAAATACTTTCAAAATTTATCACTGTTTTCACTTGATCTTATCCCAAAAGGTTTTGAGAGGTCTGAGCTATACTTTGTACATATATAGGATTCTGAATGAGGTAGAATGAAATATCATTTTTAAGTGAATTTTTGCATTATGCTAGATAAAGTCTATTTCTATAAGATAATACTTGGGAAGCCAAAGTATAAGCAGAAGGTTGTTTGGTGAGCTTAGAGTGTGCTTGCCAATCATGTCCTGATGTCCCTGCCACTAAAGGGCACGCCTGACCCAAAAAGTAGTAGACATTTGACTATTTTAGTATACCTTTATCTTTGCTTAAATTTGAGCGAGTATTGATTTTTATTTTTAGAAGATGGAAAATGGTTTCTGGTTATAGGCACTCATTTTGGGCTGATACGCTATTTATACTTTGTTCTTAAAATATAACTTCATTTCCAAGTTTGGAAAATACTTCATAATTTTATAATTTTGAATTTAATTGTTGTTACTGTGTCTGGCATATCGAATACTCTCGGTAGCTTGCCGGGCTCTCCGAGAGGGGCTGGAGCGATAGCACAGCGGGTAGGGCGATCGCCTTACAAGCGGCCAACATGGCCGACCCGAGTTCGATTCCTCTGCCCCTCTTGGAGAGCCCGGCAAGCTACCGAGAGTATTCGATATACCAGACACAGTAACAACAAAGTCTCCAATGGAGACGTTACTGGGCCCGCTCGAGCAAATCGACGATCAACGGGAGGGCCTTTATTTATTATTATCGACCTTATGGCCCTAGTTCCTGTTTTTTTTTTTTTAATTTAATTGCCCTATTCCTTTTTTTTTTCCCCCAATAGTGTCCATGGGCTACCTCTCAAAATACAATATCTTGTTCTTTGGCTGATGTAATGAGTGAACAACTGGCAAAAGAGTTGCAATTAGAAGAAGAAACCGCTGCTTTTCCTGAAGTTGCGTAAGTAAAATTCATAATCTGCTATATCTATCAAGTTACTGCTAACAATTATGGGGTGTGATTAGTAAATGTCAGTGCATTTAGGAAAACAGTGTGGTAGAAGGTGCTACATACTGGAGACCACTAAACTCATCTTGGTCCTGATTCTGTGACTGGTTTTCAGTATGCCTTTGTGTTATCTGTTTGTTTGGGTTTTAATATTACAGTTCAACAGAATAATCTCCAAACAGTCAAGTACAGTACAGTATTTATCAAATGTTACTTATCTTTTTATATCTGTTATCTCTACTTTGATTAGATGACAGATTATAAATTCTGACTCTCAGTGTGGAAATTTTTTATAGGCTCCATAGCTTTTTCTCTTGCTCTCTTACTAATGTACTAATCTCACATAAGGCTATCACTGCTAAAAAATAACATCCCCATGCAAAAAAAAAAAACCAATAAAAACAAAAACAGCCAGGCAGGTGAGGGTGAATGGTTTGTAAAGTTCTTTCCCATTATTTCTCCAATATAATTTTAACAATGAAAAGGCACAATCCTGCGTTCATAATTGGTAGCATCTGTTCACACAAGACCATTATATTAGTTCATGCTGCCTTATTTTGAATAGTGTTGCTGAAGGACCATTTATTACTGGAGAAAACATTGACACTTCCAGCGACCTAATGCTGGCTCAGATGCTACAGATGGAGTTTGACAGAGAATATGATGCACAGCTTAGGCGTGAAGAAAAAAAATTCAATGGAGATAGCAAAGGTACTATGACCTTATTGTGTCAACTCCATTGGGTGGTAGAAAATGCTTATAGCATGCTGCTAGGTAACTCTTCAATTGTGTTTGTCTTTTAAGTATCGATTTCCTTTGAAAATTATCGGAAAGTGCATCCTTATGAAGACAGTGATAGCTCTGAAGATGAGGTTGACTGGCAGGATACGCGTGACGATCCCTACAGACCAGGTATCACTGCTTTTACTTTCTGAGGTGGGAAGTTGAGGTCACCGGAAATGTGAGTTTCTCAGTGAATTCTTGTATTTCGTTTTGGAAACTTATTTAAAACTTGCTTAGTTAGCTCCAAATACCTATTAATGCAACATTGGATGCAACAATTTAGTCTTTGCTCTTTTTTTTTTTTTTTTTTTTTTTTTATTTATTTATTGAATCACTGTGGGAAAAGTTACAGAGCTTTCGGGTTTAGGTCTCAGTCATGTAGATACCGAACACATTTCCCTTTACCAATACTCATTTTTAACCCCGAACCCCAATAGACCCCCACCTCCCACCCCTCCCAATTATTGTGAGGCAGATGAGTTCTAGTTAATACTCTATCTACTTTGACTAGATAGATTATTTCGATAGAAGATGCACAACTATTGTTTAGAGCTTACGACCCACCCCCCCCCCCAATCAGACATGCTGAAACAGCGTTGTGAAATGATTTGCTTTCTACAACTTGGTTTAAGAATAAAATGAGGTCGCGCGGCCGCTATCGCGGCCACGCGGTTTTGAATTTCTGCTATTTTGCTTATTGACCCTGGAAGAATTTCTATTAAAAGTTAGCTAGTTAAGAGATTGGTTTCTGTGCCCTGGAGTCGTGGCCGTGCCGGAGAGCCGCTCGTGGGGGGCAGCTGGCGACCTTGGTGGGGCGTGGGGGACGGCCCACAAAGCCCCCCTTCCCATGAGGTCCCCGCCGCTCCCCCGAGCCCGGCTCAAACCCGCTTTCCACAAGGCTCCCGTGCGGCCGCCATCTTTCTTTCCAGAGAGGAGCAGGCGGGCTGGTCAACGCCCTTCCCCCTCCGGGCAGGCTTGGTGGCGCGGATCAACACAAGTCCATTTGCTTTTCTGCTCCAAGCGGCTGGTTCTCTGTGCTAAGTCCTTGTGCCTCCGGGGCCGTGGCCGTGCCGGAGAGCCGCTCGTGGGGGGCAGCTGGCGACCTTGGTGGGGCGTGGGGGACGGCCCACAAAGCCCCCCTTCCCATGAGGTCCCCGCCGCTCCCCCGAGCCCGGCTCAAACCCGCTTTCCACAAGGCTCCCGTGCGGCCGCCATCTTTCTTTCCAGAGAGGAGCAGGCGAGTCTTTGCTCTTTTAATTTTCTTTCTTACACACTTGTCTTCATGCCCTCTAGCTAAACCAGTTCCTACGCCCAAAAAGGGTTTTATTGGAAAAGGAAAAGACATCACCACAAAACATGATGAAGTAGTCTGTGGAAGAAAGAATACAGCCAGAATGGAAAATGTAAGTTACAGAAAATATTATCCCTGAATTGAGTTTCAATGGAATAAGTTAAAAACATGGGCCATTCAGGGAAGTGGTATCCGGGCTCGGGTGTACCCTTTCCCTGTATCCAATTCCAGTTTGATCCAACCCTATGTGGCACTCTAGGAATCAACTGGGCATAGAGCTGAAGGACTCTGAGCAACTGCAAAATATGGCTCTGGTCTCACCCAAAGGCCACCCCTCATACTATCATATTAAGCCTCCTGCCTGGTTGTCTCACCACTGCAGGGAGTGGTCCCTGCACACTGGAGAAACCCCAACATAAAAATCAGTAAACCCATTTCAAATTCCTAATTTCTAAAGGATCATTTTCCTTTCTAAATAGGTCTTAGCTCCAGGGCTCATCTGCATGCTCTGCATGCCAGAGGCCCAGGATTATTCTCTGGCACCACATCCTCCTCCCAAGTACTCCCAAGTACTTTCAGTTCACTGAAAGTGAACTCCCTTCACCCTTAAGCACTCACCCAGGAGTAGCCCCTGAGTACCACTGGGCGTGGCCAAAGAAAAAAGTTGTTTCAAATGACAAAATAGCAGTGCTATGAAACAAATCGTTAATGAGACTATAATATATCTCAAAATAAAAATACACACTCACAGACTAATTTGATTTAGTGATTCTAGACTAAATGTGGTGCTTCAGATTGAATACCTGAATTGGCGCCATGCAAGGAAAGCACCTCCCACCCCGTTCCATCTCTCCAGCCCCAAGCTGCAGTTTCTGAAATAGTGCTGTCTGAAATCTGTGGGTTCTAATGTCAGAGCATGGTCATCTGTTAGGAACCTATCCCAAGTAAAGACCCCCGCCCTGGGTTTGTTCACTGTCCCCATTTTAAAGTAGTCACATGCTGATTTTTCCTTTTGGCAGTTTGCACCTGGGTTTCAGGTAGGAGATGGAATTGGAATGGATTTAAAGCTATCAAACCACGTTTTCAATGCTTTGAAACAACATGCCTACTCAGAAGAACGCCGAAGTGCTCGCCTCCATGAGAAAAAGGAACATTCTACTGCTGTAAGGACGCTAACTTTATTTTCCCCTTTAATGGAAAGCTTCCTATTGCAAAACTTTATGTTGGGGAAAAAGATAAAATAGAACTTTAGGTTTGATACTTTTTCATGAGATTGACTTTTCAAATCAGAGATGTAAATGAAATCCAAGTAGCTTTGCTTGATTTTTAGATTTAATGATACCATTAGTAATCACTTATACAAAACTAGCATTTTTTTAATGATCATAAATAACTCAGGCTGTAATTTAAATTGAAAGTTAATGTTCCAAGATTTTAAATCGTGGTTTGCCAGTAGTTATTGCCACATTTATAATTTAATACTCTCAATGCTTTACTCTCAGTCAGTTTTTCTGATTTGTTTGGCCTTTGCCTCTCTGAATGTGCCCCAGCTCCTCTGCTCTGAGAAGCCAAACTTATTTGGCCTACCATTGCTTTTCAGGAAAAAAACAAATCACTTAGTACCCCCCCCATTGTATACCTGCCCTCCTTAAATAGAAAGTGCACCCCAGTTATACCAGAGTCAACTGCCATGTCCCCACCCCTTCCAGCACCCACTCTGGGAGAGAGTGTTTTATATTAATGAAGTATCTAGTATCTTAAAAATTAATTTTTAGTAAATAGTACATCAGTGAACTGTTTAAACTTTGGAGTTAAAATATATTTAGACTAAGCCGGTATCTGACATTTAATGATATTTTTAGATACTTTCAAAGACATTAGAGGAATGAACTTATTCTGACAGCTCTCTTTTAAGAACCTGTTTTATGTTGTGTGTGTGTGTATACACGTATATATAGATTAATAATAAAGATAATAATAAAGGTTATAAAGTATAGATTTTGAAAGGGATTGGAAATAGCTCAGAAAATGTTTTATGGTTAAAGTGCTTTATCTTTTGCAGGAAAAAGCAGTTGATCCTAAGACACGTTTACTTATGTATAAAATGATCAACTCTGGAATGTTGGAGACAATCACTGGCTGTATTAGTACAGGAAAGGAATCTGTTGTCTTTCATGCATATGGAGGGAGGTAAGGAAATAAGCCATTATATTAACAAAGGTCTTGCCCCTTATCCCCATTATTAGTGAAAATATACAAAATTAGAGTTAATGCTGCAGGGCAAAAAGTAATTTTATTTACCTGTTTTGTGTGTTTGTGGTGCCAGGGAGCAAATCCAGGCCTCACACATGCAGGATATGTACTCTACTGCTAAGCGACAGCCCTGACACCAGCAGAATAATTTAAAAATGTGGAGAGGGCCGGAATGGTAGTGCGGTAGTACAGTGGTTAGGACACTTGCCTTGTATGCGGCCAACCTGGGTTTGATACCTCTCATCCCATATGGTCCCCCAAGCACCACCAGGAATGGTTCCTGAGCACAGAACCAGGATTAATTCCTGAGCGCTGCTGGGTGTGACCCAAAAACAAACAAACAAAAGCAACCCCCAAAACTAACAAAACAAAATGTTGTAGAAGGACTGAAGAGATGGTACTTTTGCCCCTTTCATTCTCTGGACCGTACCCATGATGCTCAGGAGCTGCTTTTTCCTAGATGTGTGCTGAGGAGTGACCCATGTGCAATGCCAGGGATCAAAACAGGTTTGGCAGCATGCCTGCAAGAGCCTTAATCCCTGAGCTCTCTCTGGCCTTTATTGTGTTTTTAAAGGAATTCAAACAAGTACTGGGAAAGTCTTTACCTTTTAATTTATTATTATGCCAGGGATCAAACTCAGGGCCTCAGACATACACATCAAGTGTTCTGAGTTTTGTCACTGACCCATGTTTTTTAAAAAAGCTGTTTAACTAATCTCCCTTTCTAAATGAGACATACGTATATAATCATGCCGAAGTACAGTTTTAAGTGTCAACATGAAAAGAATGAAAATGTTAGGATAAAAGGGTACAGAATCTTTCAAGCTACATGATAAAGAACAAGTACTAAATCCTTTTTTATTTATTAATTGAATCACTGTAAGATGGAGCATTACAAAATTGTTCATGATTACATTTCAGTCATACAATGTTCTAGCACCCATTTGTCCACTGGTGTAATTTCCCAGCACATGTCCCAATAAACCAGTTTTTCAAACTAACCCTCATAGGACTTTCATAGGAATAAATGAGTTCATTGTTTTTATATAATTTTTTTCCCTTTTGGGTCATACTCAGTGATGCTTGTGGGTTATTCCTGGTTCTGCACTCAGGTTATTCCTGGGGAGCTTGGGGGACCATATGGGATGCTGGGGATTGAACCAGGGTTGGCTATGTACAAGGCAAATGCCCTACCTGCTGTACTATCGCTCCAGCTCCTATAATAAAAATTTTTTAAATTAATTTTTAAAAATTTGTTTACAATGATTTATTACATCCAACATTCCAACACCAATCCCACCACCATTACACCTTCTCACCACCATTTCAAATTTTCCCAGCCACCGCCAAAGCCTGCCTCAATAGCAATCCCTAAATAATGTATTATTATTTAGGATGAGACTCATCCTGGGTTAAGGTCTGGAAGCATCTCTGCAACTTGTTGATCTCTTTTGAGATTTATGGGCGTGACTGCCAGGCTCCCAGAAGAGCAGGGGGCATGGGAAGGTCTCCCCTCCCTGACTCTGTGAGAGCCTGGAGGTTTCAGTCACAAAACCCACATACCTGAGTTTTTCAACAGATTAATTCCTGAATGAGGCTTTTCCTGAGTCTGGAGTCCAGCAGTGAGTGTGGCAACAATTGGGTTATGTAGGTTTTTGGCTGTGAGGTTCACCCACCCCTGCTCCTGGGGTGCCCCGGATGAGAAATGAGTTCCTATTTGGTCAGGCTTGGTGTGTTATAGGATAACATTTGTTTCTCCTTTCTGCCTTGCCACAGGGAGCTTAGGTTTATTGGGTTGCTCCGATAATAGTGCTCCCATTCCTCTGTGTTTATTTGTAACCTCTTCCTCTGTGCTCTATTAACTTGTAAATATTGCTTTTTTCTTCTCCTTAAGTCCTTTGCATAGTTATTTCAGAGCAGTGTCCTTTTTGTATAGATACAGGAAGGCAGTTAATGCTGTGCTTTTGTAACTTGGGGGTTAATTAACTTTGCTTTCTTGACTTTAAGCCTCAGTTGCCTTTACTTCCTAGCACCACAAAAGCAGGGTCCCAACAAGGGACTGGATAGACCCAGGGCAAGCTGTGAGCTACCTTGGCATTGAAATGGGCCTGGCCAAAGCACCATACTACTTAACTATAAGTTAAGAGGATGGCCATAGACAAATTTCGTCATGATCCAAAAAGTAATAACTGAATTAGGATCCTGCTAGGGTTAGGAATGATTAATCTGGCTTGAGCATTGTAATCTGAGATCTATAATGAGATGTCCACAGGAAAGCCATCCCCCTACAAACTCAGTGTATCTCTTACTGTGTCCATACAAAATACCTAATATTAAGGAAGTAGAATTAAGATGTTAATTAAGTTATTGGACTAAGGAGAGGAGAAACACCCCTATGTGGTATTTCCCTCCCTTGAGCCCTGATCTGCAGAGATCAGGAAGGGCTTTTGATACGTTGATTGTGCAAGCAGACAGGGTGTGGTGTCTACCCCCAATGCTGAGAGATGGGAGAGAGACCAGGGCAGCAAGTTGGAGTGCGGAAAGACTAGCAGTGGGGACAGAGGAAGAAGAAGAAAGTAGGGGAAGAATGCAGGAGCAGGAGCGTGGAGAGAGAGAGAGAGCCCAGGCTATGAGATGGAGCGCAGAGAGATGAGCAGGGGAGACAGGAGGAGACGGGAATGAGGAGCAGTGTGAGACTGAAATGGGGAGCTTAGTGAGACTGGAACAGGCGCATGGGGAGAATGGAATAAACGGCAACTGAAAACCAACTAGCCTGGCGGCCTCATTTCCTCCTTCGTCTACCCATGGCATTGGCTGACCTGGGTGGGGAAGTGGCTCTAGTCCACCGAACGCAGGTGGCGAGAGAGAGCCCACTCGGGATCCTTAGCTGCCTGTGATTACACAGTGTATGTGTAAAGTTTTCTTATTTTTTTGCTTTTATATTTTTCTTTCATGCTTTGTTGCCCTTTTCCCCAATTTCAGCTGAGTATTCCCTGAGACCAGGAAATATATAGCTCAGTGATACTAGTTACTTATGATAGAAGTAAAATTTTATAGAAAGGATTGAAATGAAGGGTCGAATTCATCCTGCTCTCACCTCACTCAGGATCATCCTCACCCCATTGGTTTCCTCTGGAGTTTTTGTCAGTTTTGTCAGTTTTCGTCCCATCATCCAGAAATTATGACTCATATACTCCTTTGGTTTTTATAAAGAAGTCTATACTACATTGAGAACATTAATTTTTTGTGTAATATGTCTTAGTTCTTCTGTTTTGGCACCACACCCGAAAGTGCCCAGGGCTTCCTCCTGAAGAATAAACATAAGCACATACACTCAGGGCTTATGTGACCAGGAGACCACGTATGGTGCCAAGAATTGATTCAGAGTTGGCTTCATGCAAGACAAGTGCTGTCTCTCTGGCCCTGTCTTCGCTTTTTCTGCATTAATAGTTTGTACCAATATACTTTCACAGTAGTGCAGTTCATTATGGCAACGTATAGGAATATTCTTTTCACTGTGTCTCTGTGCTGGCAAACAGTATTTATTTCATTTACTCAAAAATTTAGTTTTATAGTTTGTTTTTGCTTTTTGGTGACAGGGATCAAACCCAGGGTCTCATGTATGCTAAAACTACTGAGCTATGTTCCTAACCCTTACTTACTGAAAATTTAGAAAACACTTCTCCCTTTTATTTTACACCAGAGAGTCCCCAAATCTCAAGTTTTTGTTTATCTTACAATGTTTGGCAAAAGCAATTTCCCCCTATATATAGTGAAATTGTAGGTTGAGTGCGTTCTAAACGTCCATAAATAATACCAAATTAACTGTGCTAGGTTAATGTATTTTGGGGGTATTTTTTTTTCCACCGGGGTTGGGAGGAGGCTGGGAGGGTTTGGGCAACACCTCACAGTACTGGTTTGATTCTCTGGTGACCATGCATTGCAGGGGATGGAACCTGTGCTCCAGCCTTTTGAGTCACCTTCCTGGCCCAGCTTAACCTATTTATGCTCCATCAGCACTGTGAGACTGTTTTCTTCCTCTTCATCAGTGCTTAGTATTATCAAACATAAGTTTTGAAAGTATATGAAAGATAAAAAGTAACATTTTATTTTTTAATGTGTTTTTTTTTGTTTGTTTGGTTTTGGTTTTTTTGCTTTTTTTGGGTCACACCCAGTGATGCACAAGAGTTACTCCTGGCTCATGCACTCAGGAATTACTCCTGGTGGTGCTCAGGGGACCATGTGGGATGCTGGGAATCGAAGTGGGTTGGCCACATGCAGGCCAAACGACCTACCCGCTGTGCTCTCGCTCCAGCCCTTAATTTAAATATTTGTTTTTTGGGTCACAACCAGCGATGCCCAGGTTACTTCTTGCCCTGCACTCAGCATTCCCCCACTGGCAGTGCTCAGGGAACCATATGGGATGCCGGAGATGGTACCCCGGTCGGCTGCATGCTAGGAAAATGCCTTATTCACTGTACTATTGCTCTGGCCCTGAAAAGTAACATTTTAAATATGTGGGCATTCGTTTATTTCATTGTAATTCAGGTTGCACATTTTTTTCCAAGTGTGTTCACCAGACCTTGGAGAACTGGGGCACCACTCCTGGCAGTACACAGGTCTGGTGACACAGCACTGCTGGGCCAGTGGTACAGAGGGCCACCAGGGCCACACCCACTGGGTTTGGACAGCCTCGGGGGCCACACCCAGCAGTGGTTGAGGATGTCTGTCTTGCAATGCTTGGGATCAGCCTCAGGGCCTTCGCCATGCCAGCAAGTGTTCTCCCTCCTCAGATAGCTCCTCTGGCCTCTGTGTAATTTCTGCCTGTGTGTAGCTCTTCATCATTCCACAACTGAGTGAAGAGTATATATAGATTATTGAAAGCTGGTTGATGAAAACAAAATAAAATGAAATCTTGCTTAGGAAACTCTTCCTCCTTCCCCTCCCCCCTGCTTTCTGTTCTTTTATGGGAAATTTCTCCTCTACCCCCTCCTCCCCCTCCTTTCCCTAAACCCTCCTTCTCCTCTCCTTTCTCCTCCTCCTCTTCCTCCTTTCTTCCTCCTTTGGCGGGGGGGTGGGGGGGGGTCGGTCACAGCCAGCGATGCTCAGGAGTTACTCCTACACTCAGTGGTGTAGGTGGTGGTGCTCGGGGGACCATATGAGATGCCGGAGGTCAAATCCGGGTCAGCTGCTTGCAAAGCAAATGCCCTACCCACTGTATTATTGCTCAGGCCCATAAGAAATTTCTTCTGAATTTGAACGCAAAAGGCAAACTTAGTTTTATTGTGATCCAAACTTTGAAGCTTAAAAAGAAAATGGAGGAAGACTTACCGTTCTCAGAGAAAGAAGATAGGTCTACTTTTGTGTAGTAAAATTTTAATTTTGGATAGTTTGTGGCCTGATTCATATTAACCCAATTTTTTTCTTTCATTTTAGCATGGAGGATAACGAGGAAGATAGTAAAGTAATACCTGTAGAGTGTGCCATCAAAGTATTTAAGACGACCCTTAATGAATTTAAGAATCGTGACAAATACATTAAGGATGATTTCAGGTTTAAAGATCGCTTCAGTAAACTGAATCCACGTAAGATCATCCGCATGTGGGCAGAAAAAGAAATGCACAATCTCACCAGGTAAAATCATGTGCTAGGTGTCACATTGAGTAATTGATCGGCTTTATGTATCAGACTTATTAACCAGGCAAGAAAATTTATGCTGTTTCAAAAAATTCATTTATGGAAATTAGGAAAGGCCTTGTAATTTCAGTATTTAATGAGGCTTTCTATAAGAAAATATACATATAACCTGAATTTACACTTTTAGGGATAAAGAAGGCTGTTTTCTTTTTTCTCTCACACAGATTGAAGATAATTCATTTTCTGCCTGAGTTACTATATATAAAACATATATACAAATGATACCTTCTTTTTTCTAGCTGATCATTTTTATTGATAATTTTCTGTTTTCCATCCAGTGTTTATTTGGTGGATATGGGTGGGGGTGGGTGAGAGGGTGAAGGTCTTACAAAACTTCAATTAGCAGACATTTATTAAGCTTGTTTCTCCATTCTCTAAGCAGATTTTTTTTTAATTAAAAAATTTTTTTAATAGTGAGACATCATGAGGTACAGTTGCAGACTTACACATTTTTGTGCTTGGGTTTCAATTATACAATGATCAAATACCCATCCCTCCACCAGTGCCCACTTCCCACCACCATGGATCCCAGTATCCCTCCCACCCCCCATCCCCCCATCCCACCCTTTCTCTGTGGCAGGGCATTCCCCTCTGTTCTCTCTCTCCTTTTGGGTGTTGTGGTTTTAAGCATTTTTTTTTAAATCCCAGAATTTTTTTATCAACTAAGTAACTGAGTTATCTTTTTTTTTATTTCCATGTAAAATAATTTTATTGATATAAATATACATGTGAATAAAATACCTTCAGCATGTAAAAAAAATTATCCACTTAAAATTGATTCATTACTAATCAATTTAATGCAGAAATTATGGAGAAGTAAAACTAGCAATATTACGATGACTCAGAGTAGCCTAATTTTAATGTTTTATATGTTCTATTCAAGCTATTTTAGAACATTTCTGTAAAACATTAAAATATATATATACAATATTGGTTTATAACTCTTACCGAATTTCTTTTTGCTTGTGTGTCACTGAAATTTACAGCAGACATGTTTAAAGGAAACAAGGAATTAACTGTATATATCAAGAAGAACTGATTTATCTTTATCTTAATCCTTTAACATCTTGATTTGAAGACCAAGATAAGACTCCAGTAGTCAAACCCATGCCCTGCTTGTTCAAGGACTAGGTTTTATGCCAGGCACAGCACGCCCCAGCACTGCTGAGGGTGTTTCTTGTTGAAAAGAGAAGGGGAAAAAATCAGTTTTCTCTAGAGATGTTTATTTTCAAAAGCTACTGTGAATATTTACAAGTTGGAAAATTCTTGGTAGTACCTGAAGAAGAAGTTTCCTTACATACTGCTTCTCTCCTTTCTTTTCACTGAGATCTTATCCCCGCCTTTCTTAAAATTCTGCAGTTGCTTAGAGCCCTTTCTTTAAAATGATCTCTGTAGTCTCGCCCACAATACTTGGCCTCTTCCTCTCAGACCCCATTCTGTGGACTTAACATCCCTTCCCCATGGGCTGTGCTCTTGGTCACACTCAGATGGCTCTCAGCCTTCTCCCAGCATTCTTACCTGTCTTGTTAGCACCTGTTGGCCTGCTTGTAATCAGCCTTCCTGATCCAGGCTCCTGACCCCACCTCTGCCAGAGCATGAACCCCATTCTGCCTGCCATCAGCTCCTCATCTCACTGTCGTTCTTGCCAGTGTGTGGGCTCCATTAGGGCAGAAATTGTGGCTTGCTGGCTACAAGTTCCCACATCTCCAGAGTAGACACCAGACGCCAACTCATTGCAGGCCATTGTTCGCTGTATTTGTGAATACATGAAACACTCTTTCTGATCTTTACATTCTTAATCATTTCTTTACAGAATGCAGAGAGCTGGAATTCCTTGTCCAACAGTGGTATTGCTCAAGAAACACATTCTAGTTATGTCTTTTATTGGCCATGATCAAGTTCCAGCCCCTAAATTAAAAGAAGTAAAGCTCAGTAGTGAAGAAATGAAAGATGCCTACTATCAGACTCTTCATGTAAGTTGTCTTTGAAAGCATTCACACACTGGGGGCCGAGCGATAGTACATTGAGTAAGGCATTTGCCTTGCATGCACTGACTCAGATTGAATCTCTGACATCCCATAAGGGTCTCTGAGCCTGCCAAGAATGATTCCTGAGTGTGGAACCAAGCATAAGCCCTGAGCATGGTTGGGTGTGCACCCCCCTCCCCCCAAAAAAATTGACACAACTGCATTTAGCAGATAAAATACTTGATTAGTTTATTAGTTTCTTGAACTGTTACAGCTTTAATAGTGAAGTAAATACTTTTCCTGTTGGAAAAATAAATGGATGCAGATTAATAGAAAGTGATACTGAAAACTGAAGATGTAGCAAGTGATTCTTGAAGGACATAACTTAGGAATCTTGAAGGTATTTTTACTTCTAGACAGCAATTGAATTCAATCTGAGTCCTTGTGATCAAAGAAAATGCTCATATACTGTTGTTTATCCTATAATTGCAGACCAAGGAGACATGGTTTTTCTGCCTGGATCTGTTATTAAATAGTTAATTTGAATATAAAAGTGTGATCCAAATTACGTTCTTTTCTTTGTTTTGGGGCCATACCCAGTTTTCCTCAGTCAGGGTTTACTCCTGCTGGGTATTGAACCTAGATCAGCTGTATGCAAAGCAAGTACCTCAAGTCCTATACTATCTCTCTGGCCCCCAAATTGATTTATTTGGGGGTGGGGAGCAGCACCTTTGGCGCTTAGCATTTAACTCCTGACTGTGAGCTCAAGGGTTACTCCTAGTGGTATTGTATGTGATCCTCAGGAGATCATATGTGGTACTAAGGGTTTGAATCAGGGTGAGTTGCATGCAAAGCAAGGACCTACCTCCTGTATTATGTCTTTGGCCACCCCTCCTCCCCCAAATTAGTTTTGTATGGTACAGCTAGAGAGACAGTTTTACTTCACCTGATTCCATTATGAAGAATCCTACTTTTCTGGTGTCTTATGGCACTGAGCTGGAGTGATAGCCTTACAAGCGGTCAACATGGCCATCCCGAGTTCGATTCTTCCGCCCCTCTCAGAGAGCCCGGCAAGCTACCGAGAGTATCTCGCCCGCACGGCAGAGCCTGGCAAGCTCCCCGTGACGTACTCGATATGCCAGACACAGTAACAGGTCTCATGACGGAGACGTTACTGGGCCCGCTCGAGCAAATTGATGAACAACGGGAGGACTGTGATGACCGTGATGGCATTGGGGTGGCTGGGGAAGAAATGAAGTGGTGATGTTCCTTTTCTCTTTGGATCTTTGTGGAGCAGGAGACAGAGCATATATGTTTATTTCTCTACTAACGCAAGGTGTCACAATTAATTATGAATATAAGGGACTAGAGAGATTGTACCCAGTTAAGGCACATGCCTTGATGCGGCCAATTCCAGTCCCATCCCCAGGACCACGTGGTGACCTGAAGGTCTCACAGTGCGGCCTTGGCGCTGCCATACTTGAGCAGCACCTCGGGCCTCATGCTGAAATGCTGCTTGGTTGGCCAAGAGCTGCTGGGAAGTGGCCCTTTGGGCCCCCTGAGCACTGTGTGGGAACTCCCTCCCCATGTATGTATGCGCACCATTTCATTTAGACTGTTTCTTTCCCACTGTATTGCTCAGGAAGTAGTTTTTACCTGGGAATTATATACACTTCGTAGAGATCGTAATGGGGTATTTGCACCCTTCAGAAGAATAAGCCTGCTCAGGGTTCCTTTGGCCCATTAGTCACATCAGCATAGCCACTATCTTTCCCTTGGCTTCTGTTCCTTCACAGGAAGTGAAGAGTCACATGCTTATTCCTCTTTTGTTTCTCTGTGCCCCTATTCTCCCGTCAAACGAACTCATTCCAAGGTGCACGGAGGAAGCAAGTGTTTAGCCTACATCTGCTTTTCGGGAAAAGAGTGATACTGACATTTCAGGTGCAAGTTGCACGGGTGTTTCATCCTCTCCTAAGTGTATTCTTTGTGTCTTCCAGCTGATGCAGCAGTTATATAAGGAGTGTACACTTGTACATGCTGACCTCAGTGAGTATAACATGCTGTGGCATGCTGGGAAGGTGAGGATCATATCTTGTGAGTGTTTGGATTAAATAAGTTGGTGCACATCACTGAATACAGGGAAACCACTTGATACTCTGTTTCTCCACAGGTCTGGTTGATCGATGTCAGTCAGTCTGTAGAACCAACCCATCCTCATGGCCTGGAGTTCTTGTTCCGTGACTGTAGAAATGTTTCACAGGTAGGCATGTGGATTAATAGGTTGTTTTTCAACGGGATATGACAGAGTGAAAGATTTGCACAGTGCTCCTGAGACAAATGAGTATGTTCTTAGAGATATAACATCCTTGCAACTGACTGCTGTCAAGATCATGATACCTAAATCAAATGTCAGATTTAATTTTCAACTAGAATGTGGTTACATATCTTATATTTAGGTTGTTAAATTTCCAGCAGAATCTGCTTATTTGATTCCAAATATTTAAACAATCAATATTTAAAATATACAAAGAGCTTCAAGAGAAACTGGCATGTGGTATGTCTGCATGCTTATTGCCTTTGTGACTAGCATTAAAATAGTAGTCCTGGCTGGAGAGATAGTACAGCCAGGTGTGGTTCCAAAACCAAAAAAGAAAATGTGGTAGCAATAATTGGTATAGTCTTACAAGGAGATAGTTCTGCCTTCAGTTTCTGAAGAAAACCTCTTTACTCTTTCTTATTGGCCTTCTTTTATTTCTCTACTAGTTTTTCCAGAAAGGAGGAGTAAAGGAAGCCCTGAATGAACGAGAGCTCTTCAATGCTGTTTCAGGCCTTCACATCTCAGCAGATAATGAAGCTGATTTCCTGGCTGAGGTAAGTGTGGCCTGGCCCTTGCTGCTGTGGCAAACTGGAAAGAGTGGGTATCCTGTGGAGGTTTTTTTTTTTTCTGGAGATTTTTTTCCCCCCTTTTCAGGCTCAGATCCTTGAATAATCTTCCACCTAAACAGTCTCTAAGGATTTATACCTTGTGAACTCCTATTACTCCTAATTATTTTATGATTGCAGAAATTGATAAGCACTGGGTGATAGAAAAATCAACTGTATCTAGTTCCTGCCTTTAACTAACCATAGAAGTTAAATGTAGCCATTCTTAGAAATTCCCAGTTATTTCAATAGTCATCAATAGAACCATTCAAAGAAAATTCCTGGAGAACTGGGTCTGACAGAGTACAGGAAAGGCAAGGTGCTTGCCTTGCCTGTGTCTGACCCTGGTTCTGTTCCCAATACCCAATAGTCCCTGAGCACTTCCAGGAAGGACCCCCTTGCACAGAGTCAGGAGTAACCCCTGAGCATTATCAGATGTGGGAAGAGGAGGAAAGAGTAGAAGGGAAGAAGAAAAGAAACTTTGAGAGAGAATTTCTTTAAATTGAACAGAAGCAAGGGGCTGGGCATATGGCTCAACCTGAATATGTCCCCAGCAGTATATCTGTCATCAGCCTCCAGTACCAAGGTGTAGCCCTGCTGGTGCCCACACATAGCTAGACCTAAGTGCCTGAAACCTCAGCTCAAAGTCACCCGGAGTGACCATGTCCCCGACACTCTGGTGGTGGGATCCCTATAAAAACTGTACCAGAAATCACAAAAGGCCCAACTCTAAAACACATGCTTTGCATTTGCTTGTCAGCAACACACACACACACACATACACACACGTGCACACACACACACGCACGCATGCACGCGCACACACATGTGTGCACGCATAGGCACACAGAGATTTAGGAAACTGAGCCCCAAGAGTGGGGGTAACTGCAGTGCATGTGGTGTGGGGGCCCTGGGTACAATCCAGGCTACTCCATGTCCCCCAAGCTGAGTACCACCAGCTCTCGCCTGAAAACAAAAACTACAACAAAAATTGAACAGAAAGGACCTGAGAGATAGTTCAGGGGTTAAGGCACCTGGGTTGACAGCGCTGAACACCATTCAGATTGCTTCCCCCAACCACCACAGCCCCAAATGCAAACTAAGTGAAACAATAGCTATTCTTTCTAACAAAATGTCAAAGCAGAGAACATGAGTGCAGACCCCAGAGGACTTGAATTTGGTCAGGCAATTCTGAAGCCTAAGGCCTGAGAAGAAGTTAATAGGAAAGTGGTAAGCTCAGCCTGCAGTTCAGTGCAGTTCTTGATATTGTTGTTGAATGAGCAATGGGTTTTTCTCTTTCCTATTCCATGAAAGCTTTATACAGGAAAGTCATGCCTGATTCTAGTTCCCTGCTCGTTAAGGACACTAGACACTGACTCTGGTAACATAGTCAAATACAAAACATGTCTATAAATATGAACCTAGAAATATAAATATGAAAACATCTATAAACACACGCACACGCGTGCGCACACACACACATGTTCTAATTCAAGGCCAGCGTGCGCACACACACACATGTTCTAATTCAAGGCCAGCATCATCATCAGGAATGACCATATTTTAAGAGTGAAAATCGAGGAGCCTGGGAGGTGGCTCAACTGGCTGGAACAAATGCTTTGCACACAGTAGCTCTAGGATCTATCCCTGTGCAGCACAGGGATAGCCCCCAGCATTACCCGCTGAGCCCCTGACCCCCACTCCACCCCCCCTCAAAAAAAAATAAAGTTCTAATACAGAGGCTAATAAACTTCTAATACAGAGACGAGGGGTGCAGATCTCCATAGAGTTTGTTCCTCATTTTTGTGATGTCCTGGGCTTGGTTCCTGGTACTTCCCCTTCATTTGGCATTTCCCCTCCACCCCACCCTGAAAAAGAGTTCAAAGTGTGACTCAAGCCAAAGCATGGTTTCTGTGGAATCGTTTTTGACAGACAGGCTCAATGTGTTTTGTAGATCGAAACTTTGGAGAAAATGAACGAAGATCATGTTCAGAAGAACGGGAGGAAGGCTGCTTCATTTCTGAGAGATGAGGGCGGTCCACCAGTGTTGGAAGTTTCTGAATAGCAAGACCTATTGCTCTCAATGTTCAGACAGCGGGGACTGTCGGCTGCCAGTGGCAAATGAATTATGGGGGACTTAAAATACCAAACAGGAGGAGTGTACAATGGTGCTTCTGTGCTTTTCCCCCCAGATAAGCCAGATGTGTGGGATTTTTAGCTCAGCATTGAGAGAATAAAATGTCACTACCTCTCATCTGACCAACAGGATAATATTCTTTAACAAGGACAAGCATTCTAGCTGAAGTAGAGACGATTTTATAGGATATATAGCATAATATCTGCTGGTGGGAATTTTTGAAACTTAGGCAACCTTTTCAAACCTGGGAGGAATGGAGAGATGTGTTTACAAGGGAGGTTTTTATGACAACCTTCTTGCTATTTCTCCACCCTGGATTTGCCTTGCGGTTTCCTCTGATGCTTTATTGGCCTAAAGTTAGCCCATTTCAGTTGTTTTCTAGATCTTTATCCAGGCCCCAATTCTAAAGAAAACTTAGTTCTTTTAGTTGATATTGTGAATGCAAGTATGGGCTGGAGCTAGAGCACAGGGGTCAGGCACTTGCCTTGCACATGGGCCAGCTCCAGTTTGATCCCTGGCACTACAAGGCCCCCGGAGCACTGCCAGGAGCACTTCCCAAGCACAAAGATGGGAGTGGCTTGTGAGCACTGCTTGATAAGGCCACAACTACCACCTCCCACCCTGCATTTTTATTTGTTTGTTTAATTAAAGAGCAAGTGTGGTTTCAGAGTGCCAGCTGGAAGTAGACATAGCAGAATACTTTATTGGCGCACAGTAACTATGACTGGGTGTTGCTTTTCCATACTCCTAGCTGAGAAAGGGCATCATAGGCTTCTAAAAGAGTAAACATGTAAGAGCTTCTTAACTATCGAAATTTTTACATTTTAACTTTCAGCTTTTCTACACTTAGGTGAAATTACTGGGATGTAACTCATGGTGAAGTTGTTCTGTTTTACAATAAAAACGTAAATTATCTGGATGGGCAGAAAATAAGATTAACCATGTATGACATTTTTTAATGAAGTCAGTGAAATAAAGTTCAGTTTACATTTTATTTACACTATTACAGTCACTGATTAAGGGATAGGCAACAAGCGATTTAGAGATTTATGTAATCAAATGATGAAAAGTATGTTAAAAACAACTCAGGAACCAAATTGACCAACAGATTTGAACTGTGTGGCTTTAGTTTGATCATTTTAAATACTGACTACATGACACATTTTAAAGGTAGATTGGAAACATTCATTGATTTTGTACTAACAGAAGCTTATTAAATAACAGAATCTTCCTCATACTGCAGTCAGATTGGAACCAGTCAAGACCCAAGCTTTCTGTCTGTAATAGAAAATAAAAATCTAAATATCGTTTGCATTTGAAAGTTTTTCTGTTAGCATTATTGTAAAGTACCAAATATTTTCTTTCTAAAACATTTTAACTTTTGTTCCTGTTATGTAACTTTGTATTACAGAGGTGTGTGGTTTTGATTAGCTCCTCATTACATATCTGAAGTGTTTATGCTCTAAGATACGGAGATTTTTACCTTTACAGAAGTTTCAGAGAGATCGGTTTTTAAATCATTAGCCATTTAAAACGTTTTCTGACATTGTTTCATTTTCTGACATAATCTTTTTGACAAAGAACAACAAACAAAACCTTACTGTGTGGCATTCTTGGAGTGTGCTGTGTGTTTTTAAGGCATTAAAAATGAAGAGATCATCTTAGAGTTGGTTTTTCTGTGTGTGTGGTGTGTGTGTGTGTGTGTGTGTGTGTGTGCGCGCGCGCGCGCCTTTTTCCTGGTCCTTATATCTAGCAAAGTAAAAAAAAGCAGCCCCTCAATTTCTCATCACTTAGATTTTACTTTTAAATTGCCTATTTCATATCACAATAGATTTTCCCCCTCTTGTAGATCAGAGAGTAAATACTTAACATAGTATTTACAACAAAAATATGCTAAAATGCTATGTGGAACAACAACCAAAAAAAGGTATATAGCAAGCGATTTAGAGATACTAAGTAATATGAATATGTAAAAAAGATATGTACTCACCTGTTGAAGTTTTATCATACTTAGAAATGGTCATATGAGTATCAGATAACACCTATTGTCTCAGGTGTCAACATCAGCCTTCTGTGTGTCTCTGTGTGGAAGCCTGTTCCCTTGGTGTGAGCCTGCATGTAGAAGTGGGCACTGAAGCAGGTACTAGGCATTAAGTGGGATCATTAGGGCCTCTCAGATCCCATAGAACAGGAGAAGAAAGAGGAAGAGACCAGAAAGACTGGAAATCCCTGCACACAGCAAAAAGACCACCTGCACCCGGCAGAGCTGCATCAGCAGACACCAGCCTGACCAGCATGTGTATCCTGGACACGGGTACCCCAGAACCAGGAGAAAAGTGGTTTGGAAAGAGTGCAGTGGGCACCCTGCTTTGCATTTGGGAGGCCTTGGGTCAGAGTCCTGAGCACCTTCAGAGAGTCCCCAGCTCACTGCTAGGTGTGGCCCAAACATATATAAGAAGTTAGAATGATGAGAAAATTCCTTTTAAGCTACCCAGTTTCTGGTGTTTTGTTGTGTGTGACTCCTGAGGTCAGTACCTGAATGAACTGACCCCAGGACCTTGTGTGTGCAAGGCGAGTGCTCTGCCACTGGGCTCCATCCCCAGGCCCCGCTTTCGCGGGGAACAGGCCTTCTACCAGCATCTGTATGCTTGAGGTATGTGCAGATTTTCAAGCAACACCCTAATTGCCGCTCCAGAGGACACGAGGTCACATTCACCTAGGGAAGCCAGGCCCAAATGCTAACGCGCACAACTACTAAGTAATAAGGGTTTGGTTTTAAGGCAAAAAGTTTTGGGGACAGTTGATATCAAACCAGTCAGTTACAGTAAGGGTAAAAGATCAGAATTCAGGGGGCTGGAGTGATCGTACAGCGGGTAGGGCACTTGCCTCACACTTGGCAGAGCTAGGTTGAATCCCCAGCATCCCATATGGTTCCCCAAGCAATACCAGGAAGAAGTCTTTTTTTTTTCTTTTTTTGGGGGGTCACACCCAGCGATGCTCAGGGGTTACTCCTGGCTCTGCGCTCAGGAATTACTCCTGGCGGTGCTTGGGGAGCCGTATGGGATGAAGGGGATAGAACCTGGGTCGGCCGTGTGCAAGGCAAACACCCTGCCTGCTGTACTATTGTTCAGGCCCAGGAGTAAGTCTTGAGCATTGCCAGGTATGGCCCAAGGCAAAGAGTTTAAGACACTGTAAGTTTCATTCTTCTGTTGCATGGAGAAAACACATTCTATTTGTTCACCTGTAGGGAACTGGGTGGTCTTCTGTGAATAATGCTGTTATGTGCATTGTTATACAGGGAGGTTGGGATGTGTGTGTGTGTATCTATGCCCCCCCCCCCATTTTACATCCCCACTAGTAATATATAGGGGTTCCTCCAATTTCTCTATATCCTCACTAGCACCTGTTGCAGTTTAAATTGTTAGGAACAAGTAAGAGCCACCCCAAAGAGCATGAACACACTGTCTCTTAAAACCTGATTTTGAGGTTGCTGGAGAGAGAGTTCAGTGGGCTGGATCACATATTTTGCCTGCCACAGGCCCAGCATTGCTCCCTGCCATCACATGTGCCACCTCCAACTCCAGATGTGGCTCCCTAAACCAAATTTCATTTTGAAAACCTCAAACCTACCAATATGTCTACCTCTTACCTGGATTCTCCTTACTTAAATTTCACCGTATCTACCTCTCCCTTTAGATTCTTTGTTGTTTTCCTGAATATTTAAAGAACATTGCAGTCCCAGGGGGGCAAGGCCAAAAGGAAAAGAGGGGAAAAAACATTCCAGGGACTGGACCCATAATTTCAGGTCTCATGCTTTACAAGTGGAGGCCCAAGATTTGATCCTTGGTATCACCTGATTTCCTCAGGCCTCCAAACTAAAAGAACACTGCAGACACAATGCTGCTTCAGGCCTAAGTATTTCAGGTAGGGCTTGCTGAAGGTGTAGGGGCGGGAGACTGGCTGAGCACATGCTGTGGTGCAGGCAGCCCAGATTCAATCACTGGCACCATGTGGTGGATACCTACATGAATACTACCAGGAGTGACCCCTGAGCACAACCAGTCTGGTCCAAAACCCCAAATTAATAAAATATCAAACAGTGAGTGAAGGCTGTACAACCTGGTGAATATACATAAATAAAACCATTCATGGGGGCTGGAGCAATAGCACTGTGGGTAGGGCTTTTGTCTTGCACGTGGCCAACCCGGGTTCGATTCCCAGCATCCCATATGGTCCCCCTAGCAGCGCCAGGAGTAATTCCTGAGTGCAGAGCCAGGAATAATAAACCCTGTTCATCGCTGGGTATGACCCAAAAAGCAAAAATACATAAATAAAAACCATTCATTTGAGCTCTTGAGGTGGGTATACGAACCATCTCTCTAAAGCTGCCATATATGTCTGTGTTGGGCTCCAGTCTTTACCAGCAGTCTAGAAGCAGGCTATCTGGCAGGCTGTGCGTGCTTTGGGAGCAGAACTCTTCCTATTCGGTGGGATGATGGCATGAGAAGTTTGCTACATAGAGGGATTTGGGATGGTTGATTAGATCAAGCTTTTATTACCCTATACTTTAACTTTTGTGAGGTCAACACACATTTTTGTTGCTTGGGGGGCCACACCCTATGGTGCTCAGGGCTATGTTCAGGGGACACTCTTGGAGGGACTGTGCGCATCATAGCTGTTCCAGGACTGAACCATTGACCAACTGCAAGGTAAGGTCCTTAACTCCTGCAGTCTCTCTCTGGCCTGAGCACACATTTTAAATTTAATTTTGCTTTTTGGGCCACATCCAGCTATGCTCAGGGCTTCCTTCTGGCTCTGCACTCTGGGATTATCCCCTGTGGGACTAAGGGGACCACATGTGGTGCTGGGGATTGAACCTGGTCTGCCTTGTGCAAGGCAAGTGCCCTACCCAGTGTACTATCACTTCAGCTGAAACACAGACACATACAGACACAGACACACACACACACACACACACATACACACTTTAAAAATTCAAACCAATGTCAAAGTAGAAAGTCACACTATGGGACAACCATCTCCTACATTCTTCGTAGCTTTTAATATACCACATACATGCAAATACAGATATGTAAGGAAATATGCACTCACACGTAAAATACTTATGAAAAGCAGTTTGCAAAGCAGTCAAGATTTCCCTGTAAATACAGACTGAAAAAAAAAGTTCCTTCTATAAATTATTCATGATCATTTTAAAACAAAAATAAATTCAGAATATTGAAAACAAACAATAAAACCCCAACAACAGTAACAGCTCAATGGCGACCTGCCAAGCCACGAGAACCACTAGAAATGCTGGCTGGTACCTCTCCTGCCAGACATCTGCCATGTAGTCTGAAAAGACTTTAGAAACACAAAACCCCAGAAAACAAAACAAACAAAAAAAAACCCTAGATAATCCCGGGTGTTGTGTTTCAGTTTTAGAAATTGCTAGAAGCACTCACTGAAGCTTGGGTAGGAGAAAAACAAACTCATCCAGCTGCTTATCTTATTCACCAGACATGACTGAGCTGTGCGTGGCTGGGGGGGAGAGCGGTATGGAACCCCTGCTCAGAGGCAGAGCACTCGCCTTGCACATGTGAGGCTCCGGGTTTGGTCCCCAGTCCTGCAACAACCACAGAGATCATGATCACGATCATCCTGTTGTTTGTCGATTGCCTCGAGCAGGCACCAGCAATGTCTCCTTTCGTCCCAGTCCGAAGATTCTAAAAAGTGTCATATTCAAGGCTCTTTCAGGGTCAGGAGAACGAGACCCATGATTGTTTGCCTTACAAGCGGCCAACATGGCCAACCTGAGTTCGATTCCTCTGCCCCTCTCGGAGAGCCCGGCAAGCTACGGAGAGTATCTCGCCCGCACGGCAGAGCCTGGCAAGCTACCTGTGACATATTCGATATGCCAAACACAGTAACAAGTCTCACGATGGAGACGTTACTGGGCCTGCTCGAGAAAATCAATGAACAACGGGAGGACCGTGACCGTGATTTGGCATATTGGGTACGCCACGGGGAGTTTGCCAGACTGCCGTGTGGGCAGGTTACATTCGGTAGCCTGCCAGGTTGTCCAAAGTAAGAGGATGGATACACGAGATGATGGATACAAACCAAGTAGTTAACAGCAGGGGTCAAGGGTGCTGCCGATTTGCAAGCCGCTGCGGGGTGAGTGGGGAGAGTGCTGGGAAGAGCTGGTTCTGGATCTGCTCTTAGTGTAGCTGCCCCTCTGGGCTCCCGTGTTCGCCTCCCCACCCCCAGAACTAGGAGTGTTGGTGGCAGGACAGCGCCATCCCCACAGCTTGCATGGTGCAGGGGCCTCCTGTGCCCAGTTCCAGCTGGCCCGGCAATGACCAGCGTCTGTAGGCACTGAACACCAGCTCCAGTTTTCCCCGAAGAATGAGAACCCGGATCCTAACTCTTGGGCTCCATCACGTCCCATGTCCCACATGAACCCAGAGTAGAGGAGAAGCCATGAGTGGCCTCTCTCCTTGGAGTCCCATCCAGCCCAGCCTGTGTCTGTCCTCCCAGCCCTGTGCTCTGCCTCCTGCTCCAGCTTGTGTGACAGACAACCAAAGGGGCCCTTGGCTTTCTTTCCCTCAGACTGTGGGGAAGATAGTGAAATAGGGGCTCTAGATTCCCCCTGGGTC